CTTTGGTCACCGTGCACAATTTCAATATCATAATTTAAAACTTTTTAATGTATATATACCGAATATACATCATGAATATCTCTTCTAATGTAATATTATAGGCTTGGGCGGTTTTGCTTAAAATCAAAACCGAAAAACCATCTGATTCTAAACCGGTAAAACCGAAAAACCGTTTTTTTTCCTTTAATTTGTATTTCAACTGTATGAGGAGGAATTGTGGTATTTTTCTGTCATAAGCAAACGAACAGTACATGACAAAACGCAAAATTGTGCAAAGGTAACCTAAAACGACTTCAGTTTTAAAATAAAAGGGTCAAGAACGCATTTGAAAACTTATACCTCTTCAGTTCTTACCGACTTTATGGAAAAAGAATAGAATTTGTATCTAGTGTCATGTAATTGAGTTTAATTGGTGTCATGTTTTGAGAATTAAGATCGAGTTTCAGGCGATGACAGTAAACAATTATGTAATGACGGTTTTCCGGTTTTTGTAAAAGCTAAACCGAAAAAACCGGTTTGAAAATAAAACCGAAAAAAACCGGTAAACCGCCCAAGCCTATGTAATATATATGCCAAATAGTGTGAATAAATTGAACTTGAACTTGAATTATTTGATATTGAATGCAGCTTGAAATTTATGACAAGCCAGAGGACCAATCCAAGAGTAGCAAACCTGACGATTATCCACCAACTTCGTTAGAAGAACAGATTTCGAAAGGAAGGCAATTTGTTTGGAAACACTCTGACAAAGTGAAGGTGATTGCAACATTCTCACTTTTTAATTTCAATTCCTGTTTCTCAACTTTTAAAAAACTAAACATTTTTGGAGTAAAATAACAAATTACTGTAGGCCACAATAGGGCCATTTATACGGAACAAAATAAGTCGCGACTTACATAAGACGCGACTTAAATAAGCGGAGTTGTCGCATAAATGGTTCTCTACGGCTTTGGTCTTATTTATTTGTTATAGCTGTAATGTTGTTTTGGTTGTTTTTGTTTTAATATGCAAGGCATTAAATTTTACGTTGTTTCAAGTTTCTGGCATGTGTAGTCAGACTTTTTGCCCAAAATTTCTTATTTAAGACACGACTTAAATAAGAACAGCTAAAAGACCTGTTCTTATGTAAGACGCGTCTTATCCAGGACGCGTCTTACATAAGAATTTTGTACCTTTTATATGACAAACCCGCGTCTTACTTAAGTCGCGTCTTACGTAAGTCGCGTCTTATTTTGTCCCATATAAATGGCCCTAATGTGGCTTGTTAATATTTTATATATTATGTTGTACATATCTAAATATATTGAATTTTGGTCAGTAATTTTTTGAACAATCATAATATGTTATTTTAACAGAATGTGACAGATTCTTCTGCTGAAGGTGCCAAGACTTTTTGGGGCAAGACAAAAGGTTGAAACGATTGTAATTTTTTCAGCTTGTACTTTTGCATCTGAATTAGATAATTAATTAAATCAAGTTTATTAACAAAGCTTATGGCTATAGTGCCTCGTTTTAAGCAATTGTATTTTTGTTTCAGAATTTGCAACAAACATTCAAACCGACCAAACGCTGCAGTTGAAAACCGGAGCGATCGCAGCTGCAACTCTGACTGGCATTTTGGTGGCTGGTCGAGGAAGTAAGTTTGAAGGGAGTTTTTGCCAAAACTCCCTTTTCAAATGCCAAACCTTCGTTTTCCAATGCCATAACTCCGTTTTCAAATGCCAGAACTCCCTTTTCAAATGCCAAAACTTCGTTTTCAAATGCCAAAACTCCGTTTTCAAATGCCAAAACTCCGTTTTCAAATGCCAGAACTCACTTTTCAAATGGCAGAAGTCCGTTTCCAAAATCCAGAACTCTGTTTTCAAATGCCAGAACTCCCTTTTTAAATGCCAAAACTCCGTTTTCAAATGCCAGAACTCCCTTTTCAAGTTGCAGAAGTCCGTTTTCAAATGCCAGAACTCCCTTTTCAAGTTGCAGAAGTCCGTTTTCAAATGCCAGAACTCCCTTTTCAAATGCCACAACTCCCTTTTCAAAAGCCAGAACTCCTTTTTCAAATGCCAGAACTCCTTTTTCAAATGCGAGAACTCTGTTTTCAAATGCCTAAACTCTGTTTCCAAATGCCAGAACTACCTTTTCAAAAGCCAGAACTCCGTTTCAAATGCGAGAGCTCCGTTTTCGTCTTGATATATGAAAGTTTTCGACGAACTGGGTTTGAGCAAATTAGTGGACACTCAATTTTTACAATATGAAACATAACTCAAAAACATTTCTTCGGTGCCCGGTCTCCTGTCGCAATTTGCAAGCTTCAAGCGAAGCGAGCAAGTTTGAACCACGCAGGGCTAACTGAAAAATTTTTTGGCTACCTGCAAAAAAACTAAATATACAGGCAATAATATGAACAAGCTTTCGTTGGTAGGATATATGCAACTACCTGGAAATATAAGGAGAATTTCGATGTTTTAAGCGAAGGCCCTTTGTCTGGAGTTACTAGCCTTCCCGAAACATCGGAATTTTCCTTATTTTTTTCAGGTAGTTTTATCCCTACCAACGAAAACTTGTTCATAATCGTTTAATACTCGTTTACTGTTCTTCAAAAGGGCGTCCACTTCGGAGGGTATTTTTCGCCGGTACCCTGGGGACCGCAACGGCGGCAGTATGCTACCCGGGGAAAGCTGCCTCCACGGCGAAATCTGCCTATCACAAGCTTGCATCCTACGTAAGTGACGGCAAACCCAGCTCCAAGGCACAGAAAGTCCAGTTTGATGAAAATATCGACCAGTTTCGTAGCGGGGAGACGTTGATGTTAGAAGAGGCCATTATCCTCAGCGAAATGCTCTACGAAGAGCTACTGAAATGGCTACACGTGGAGGAGATTCACTTGGCCGATGTTATGGCGATTTGTAACGAAGTTGTCCAAGAGGTTTTCCTTGGGATTAGTGAGGATTTTGAGATACAAACGGGAGGTTATGTCAGCGCCGAACATGCGCCCCACGCGAGTTCTGACGTTGTACTTGACGCGAAAGACGTGACACAACGCTTAGTCCAAGAAGTCCTGGACTCTATCAACGAAGATATAGAAATCCAAACCGGGGGGGTTGTTACCGGAGTACCGACTATCGCTCTAGACTCGACCGTTCTTGCTAAGGATATCTCGACCGCGGTAACAAAGGCCCTGGAACGAGACGTCGCTTCCGGTTCCACCGACCAGTATCTCTTCTCAAGTCCCGCGGGACTGTCGCGCGTCGTTTGCGAGGAGTACACGAAATGCGTGGACGCCGCGATTCGATCGCAAGTGCCGACGGGTAAATGTCACGTGATTATTAATTCAACTAACCTGGCTGCAAAAACCGCGGCAGAAATTAAAGTGGTCGTTGATGGTTTGAAGAACAGTCGCTCAGTTCTAGTGAGTTCGAGTCGGCCCGGCAACACCTCGGACTCCGCGCAGGTTGGTATTGTTTTTATTTGTTTTTAATAATATTTTAACACGGTAGTCTACCATGCAACCTTTTGAATTACAAGAAAACCTCTTTAATTTAAAATGGCCGACTTGGGGCAAGGCTTCTGTCGGTTGTTTAGAAGTGTCCACTATCTAGAGGTTTTGTTTTATCTTCTTTTCACATACAATCAATCAATATTATATTTAGCACCATTAACTAAACCAATAATTATTTACAGATAGATAGAAAGATAGATTTTATTAAAACACTACATGGTAGTCATAGAGACTGAATTACGTAGGTATACAAATTATCAATATATATTATCAATATTTACATATATTACCATTTAAAAACGTACATGAGTCCTAAGAAAGTTAAAAAGTTACTATACATTGGTTGCATGCATGGGGTAATTTCACAAAACAATGGTGCAAGCTAACTGTAATAACCAGAAGGTTACACGAGACAGCTTAGACAATGAAAGTTGAATAGAAAACACGTCCCATGCTAGAGACACAACGGTGTGAAATTGCTTGGGACTGTCTTGTTGTTTAAGGGCATGTTACATGAGTGTAACCTCGTGTAACATGCCTTTTAAAGGTTTAAAAGATTGCGACTAGAACTTTAAGGTCCATTGTCACTCAAGAAAAATTTCCACGGACAGAATATTTTCTGAAAATATCATTGTTGAAAGTTGAAAATTTTCAACTTCAAAATTTTTTTCCCACGGAAAATTTGTGTCGCGGCCAATCACATTTTACAAAATTTTCTTTCTGCGCAAATTTTCCTGAGTGAAAATGGGTCTTAAGACTTGGTAATAGTAATAATAATAATAATAATAATGACGTTTTTTGAAGAAACTTTAGTAGCAAAGCCGAATTACAACTTATTATTATTATTATTTTCTAAGATTTCACATTAAGTAGTTAATCACTAAATTATAATGCGAATTACAGTTAAAAATGAAGAATATATATCCTATACACTACTCTATTTATAAGGATACTCCTATTTCAATCTAAGAACTATTAATTTAAAAACTAAGTATTATTAATTATCTTAAATTATTACTATTATATTGTTCGACTCCATAGACAATTGCACTATTTTTAAAACGTTTGTCCGACAGTTAAAATTATAAAACTTTTCTCCACTTAATCTTAATCATTCCAGGTTACCGAGCAAGTAGCGTCCAAACTTTTAAGCCACATAGAGCAAGGTATTAGAAAATCCGATGGGAAGGATTATGCTTTCTCCGAAGCCAGCAAAATCGTACGAAAGGCTTCCGAAGAAGCGACGAAGGCGATTGCTTCCGACGTTCAGGGTTCGGGACAGGCCGTGAAAGATCGGAAAACGAGAGTCGCGCTTGATTTGGCCAAGAAGGTTGGCGAGGAGGTCATTGAAGCTATTAATGAAGATATTGAGATTCAGACGGGCTCGGGTTTACGAGGACCGTCCGATGGTAAGCCGAAACCGCCACGAAAACCTCCGACGCCTGTAACCAAAGACGATGCTGCCACGCTTGATGGTAAGGTTTTGATTATTCATTGAAGTGTTTTTAATGTCTAAATGTTTGGTTACCTTTGTTCCATTCTATGTTTATATTATCGGAACAGTGGAAACTAGGAATGTCCAAATGTGAATTAAACCAAATCAACTAAGTCGTGTTTTGCCTGTTAGCTACCCAATTCACTCACTCACGCAAAACACACAAGTTGTCACAGATCTAACGTAACAAGGTTCTAGTCAAGCCGATATCAGGATGTGTTCGGACCAGTGGCGAAGCCAGCCTGACAATTTGCCTGACATGTCATGCAATGGAAATATTTCCGTGTTCATAGACCATGAAAACAATCCATTTCTAAAGAAGTGAATAATGATAATGATTTGAAATTTGCATAACATGACCAAATTATCGGCTGGCTTCGCCACTGGTTCTCACTGCTTGTTCCCAGTTGTTGTGACAAGTCTGGAACAAGTTGTTATCACTTTGTTACAAGGTTGATGACGGTAACAGACTTGCTACAAGTTGTTTCAACAAGATTAATGCAGGCTGTTCGTAACTACGAACTTGTTGTCATCAACTTGTTAACAACTTGCTAGGTACAGACGATATCAGACTTGCTGGAAGAACTGTATTGGCCCGTTCAACTTGTTCCAGACTTGTCAACGCAAACGCGTCTTGTTGTGTGATTATTTTTACGTGTTTGTAGTTTAAATCCTTGCCAGAATCCGCCATTTGGGGGGTACTCTGCCCTCGTGAAGGATTCTAGACAATAGACCTTTCCCCTTTTAAGTGAAATTTTGAACTAGACAAGTCTGGACAAAAATTTCATCACAGCTTCAAAGAGCATCACAAAATTAGTAATATTCCGAAGTTTCGTTGCAAAATGTTGTAAAATACGGATAATATAGCCTTGCGAAGTTTGCCGTTTTTCAGTCATTTTGTATTACAAATGGGAAATTGATAATCAGATGATCAAACTGATTATCAATTTCCCGTTTGTAATACCAAATGACTGAAAAACGGCAAACTTCGCAAGGCTAAATTATCCGCATTTTACAACATTTCGCAACGAAACTTCGGCATATTACTAATTTTGTGATGCTCTTTCAAGCTGTGATGAAATTTTTGTTCAGACTTGTCTAGATCAAAATTTCACTTAAAAGGGGAAAGGTCTATTCAAACAAGGTGAAAAGCGACTTTTAAAAGTTGTAACTGTGAATTTACCATTGTACAAACAACTACAATACTAAAAAGTTGTATTTCGTGGTCCCAAAAATGGCGGAAAAATCGGCCGTGAGAAAAGCTAATTCTACGCTTAAATTGTCGGAACAGTGATAACTAAACATTTTATCATTTAGGTATAATGTACAGTCCGATGTATGTACCTGGTTTCGACCATATCGCTGACGCCATCATTGAGGAAGTTTCCGAGTCACTCCACGGACGGGGGGTTGTGGTGCACGAACTTGATCATATGGCACACGTGACGATGAAAGAAATCCTTGCCGGTGTGAGCGAAGATATTGAAATTCAAACCGGAGGGTGGGCCGGCCGGGAACACAAACCCCACGCCGTGTTAGACGGTAAAAGCTTGGTACGGCGGATAGCGGACGAGGTTTTACAAGCGATCGAAGAAGATATGAATATTCAAACGGGCGGGAAATTGGAACGAAAACGTGACCTGTACTTTGATAGTGAACGGCTGGCCAAAAACATCGTTGATTCAGTTATGGGTGAAGTTAACCGAGATATCAAAGAGACTGGGGCAAGTACGCCATATTTGTTCTCAGATACTAAAGAACTCGGGCAGTTGGCGCTGAAAGAGTTACAAAATAACATCGATCAGGCAGCGATCGGAATTGGTCGGAATGTGGGTCGCGTTCATGTGGATGTCGACGCGTTGTCGGAGGAAGTCGGGATGCAGCTGAAAGATAGAATAGAAGAGCGTTACATACGTTCGAATTCGATCGGAGAGCTCCGTGACCGGGAAGTCGCGATCGTCGACTTTGGAGAGATCCGAAAGAGTGTTGGTGCAATTATGAAGAGAAATTTGACCGAGAATGCATTGGTGTCACCGCGACCTGGGAACGAACCGGTGCACGTTGTGAAAGAGTGGGGCGAGTTGACGAAAGGGGTTGTCGAGACGATGACGAAAGCAATCCAGGAAGATATAGAGATCCAAACTGGCGGAGCGAAACTGGGCAAGAGTCCGAGGGTGGTGATCGATGCGAGAGGTCTGATGACTAGTGTTATTGAGGAGATTACCGAGGCGGTACAAGAAGATTTTGATATTCAAACTGGACGGGGTTTTAGATCCGACGAGTCAAAAGCCCGGGATGAAAAACCCCGTGGTGAACCGGGACAGTCTGAACCTGAGGATAAAGATATGTACTCGACCAGGTCAAGTTAGAAGAATGGAACCTAGTCACGTTGAAGAGGAATGTGATAGTTTTATTTTTTAATTTTTTTTCTCATTGGGACAAGGAATGACAACACACGATGAATGAAAGAAAGTCAAACCGCTGGAGTTAAAACTAGGTTGTGGTGTTTCTTGTTTGTTGTGGTAATTTGGGTGACAAAGGTTGATAAACGAGTAATATTAATGACACTTGTAATTTATAATCGCAGATTAAAAATCCTATTATCCTATTATAGCTGGGTTTCAGTCACGTCCGTACATTTAGCGCTTGGTGGTCAATTACGTTATACAATTACTTTATGGTTTCCGTGTTTGGATGAAAAGCGCGCGAAACGCGAGCCGAAGGCGAGTGATTTTGCGCCCTTTTTTAACTCGAGCAACATTCCGAAGTGTTTGGATCAGGCCATCCAAACACGGAAACCATAAAGTAATTGTTTTATAAAATAACAACTTTCCGTGTTAAAATTTCACTTTAAAAAACTTTCACTTTAAATTTCCGTGTTTGGATGGCCTGATCCAAACACGCGTTTCGACCAATCAGAGCACGCGTTATATACATGTTATTTTATAAACACAGTTAGCAGAGCGAGTTAATTTTTTATGATATGTGTAATTGACTTTGTGTTTGGTAAATGTACGCAATTTGGCGAAATTTGCTCTCTTGATTGATAATAGTATTTATTCAGGAGAACCAACATCACAAGTTGTGTTTTCCCACAAAACATTAAGCGTCAATACGTGTAAAGTTGCATGACTACCAAGCGTTTCTCTATGTATTAGGCTTCGTGAAACACAACTGTTGTTGATGAGGACGTCTTGATTGATGTTGTCATTGTATTCGCCAAACTCACTACAGAAAGTTCATCTTGACGGTTTATACACAGACATATCAGATGAATTTTCTTTTCCAAAATCGAACTAATGTGAAAATTGTTATGAAATTAAATTTCTTTTAAATTCTGTGATTGTCTAGTTCATTCCTACCTAGTTATAACATCGCATATAAGAATACAAATTCATGGCGAATAATTCTTTATATTTACTCTGTGCGATTCTTTGTAATGTTTATGAATAATATGTGCGCATTATAAATTGTTCTTTTTCAAATACTAAAATTTTCACAAATATTGAGAATTTCTATATGTCCCTCAGGGCAGTTATTTAGCTATATAAATATTACATTATATATATATCAAATTTCTATAAAATTCTATTTCCTAGCCTAGCTACTACTCTACATCGTTTTCCCGCGCAGTTCTGTCTTCTAGTGACAACTGTTTTAGTCTTTGCAAAGACCGTAGTTTATTTTCACTCCTTGCTACTGGCTCGTGCAAAGTGCTATGTGACGTGACCCTTACTACTCTTGTCGGTCTTTGCTCGTCCGAGTAAAAATCGTCCGACTTTAGTTCCCAGTCCTTTGCAGGTGAATGCGCAAACTCGTTTCCAGTCCGCGATAGCTCGTTCAGATCGTATGCGCGCGCGGTGCTTTGTGGGTACTGTAAAGGATTAAGCGTTACCGTATTGCGCATGCTCGGATTTTGGTCACCGTAATAAAGTTCGTCTTCGGCCATGCATCCATTCTCGGGATCCCATCGGAAACTTTCGTCATCACTTCGGGTTGCCGAGGTCTCCCGACCAGGAATTCGAACAGTGAACCCATTCGAAGCGGAATTACTGAGGGGCTCAAACTTAAACGTGTCAAGACCTAGAGCCTGGGCCCGACTATCAGGAGTAGTGCCAGGCCCACGCGACATCATATAGTAGGTCAGATTACGTTGTGGGATAATGTTGTAAAGTTCCATATCATATGACGTCATCATTTCATCTTCGCGAAGGACAGGCTGTAGAGTTGGAAAGAGGAGAACAGTTGTTAGTTAACTGACTGTATTTACACTGGATAGCTCTATCAGTTCTAACTGCTGTTCTTGGAGATCCAGTAAGGATCATCTCTTATTGATCTAAACTAACTCTATTTATACTGGATAGCTCTATCAGTTCTAAACTATTCTTCCTAGAGGTCCAGAAAGGGTCATCTCTTGTCTTACCAATAGGTTGTATTCCGCACTTGAAGGCTCTGAATCATTTGCCGTCTCTTGATTTTTCTAAAAAACAATAAACAGAAACGTGAGGTCGGACCGAGCGAGAACGCAAGTACAGGTGTAGTATTGCATAATATATTGACCTTTCTGGTTCTTTCTTGTATTCGTTCTTGAGAGTAGATAGGAATACCATTGTTGAATCGAGTCGTGTAAGGATTCACAAACGCGCTCTGGTTTAATCTGACTCTTTTCTGTAAAAAAATCAAAGTATTGTTAATTTAAAGTTTCATTAGTTATATGCAGGCTCACTTTTTATGCATTATCCACTCGCCTTGTCTCTGTCTGTTTGAGATTTTGTACTGCTTTCTTCCTTTTCTTCATTCTGAATTTCTGACCTTTGCTTTAAAGACTAAATTGAAAACCAGTTGACAAATTTAGTTTTCTCAACGAATTGCAGGTTGACCATCATCTGCTGCGCTTTGCGTCAATCCAGGCATAGCAATGAATGTGTTACATCTTTCAAACACAAAATTTCATCTTACCGCCAAAACTTCCCATCTTTTCGCAGCTTTCTTCTTCTTTCTCTTTTTCCTTCCTTCTTCATTCTGTTCAAAGATGAAATCTGTTTAATCTATTTCTTTACTATAGGTAATGTGCAACCACTCCCATGGGATTCAAAGGAGAAAGAGATTAGTTTCGCCAGGGACGCCGGAACGATGTGAAGGCAAGGGGGGCAGATTTTCGTGAAAGGGCACTTTTGAATTGATATATACTGAGAGATTTTTGCAAAACATCTGGAGTTGAACTTCGCTTAATCATGTTTTCTATTTATTGGATGATAGTGGTGTGAGGGGGTTCTCCGCCAGGCGATTGTGCTATTCTTGAAGCTTGATGACTGCATTTCTTGCGTTTTCTAAAGCAAATTCGTAAAAGAATCGCACTAACATTTTTGACAACTCGCTATTTCGCCAAGGCAATCCTTTAAATTGAAAGGGCACCTTTGCTCCCCTTGCCCCTCCTGGTAAAGGGCAACGGGGGCGACTGCCCCTCCTGCCCCCAGCCAGTTCCGGCGTCCCTGAGTTTCGCCATGTTGGATGATATTTGCGTTGCAAACAAGCAAAATCCTTTGTCAATGTCATCCAACATGGCGACGGTGACGTAACCTGCACACCACCTATTCGCCCCTTAATTTTCAAGCCTAGGGCGGGCGGGACCAAAGGCTCCATGAAGAGCTTGTGCGTCCTGTGCCGTAACAAAATTTTCTCACCTTTTTTCTTTGCTTGAGTTTCCCATTGTTCTCTTCGCCCTCTGATTGGCTATCTGAATCACTGGAACTATGAAATACAGGGAATATGTAAGCATAAGAGCAGGCATAAAATCTTTCGTAGCCGACGCTATTTCAAGAATGCTGTGGACCTCTGTATGGGAACTAGCAGTTCGAACCCGATAGCAAGAACCTTGTAGCAAGTTTGTTGCCGAACAACTTGTCAACAAGCTGAGCACAGGCTTTGCGAACACAACCTGATATGACCTTCTTGGAACAATTTTGTACCAAGTCAGCCATGTAAAAACTACAGATCTATAACAATTTGTACGTTTACGCCGTACACTATACTTGTATTTATGAACGCATTGACTTACTCTGACTCGGCCTGTAACGCATTAAGATCCAACTCGTCCAACTGTTTGAGACAATCCTCCAAACTAGCTCCCTCACTTTTCCTCACGGACACCTCGACCTCTTGGAACTCCGCGTCCGACCTCGTGTTACCCACGTGAACATCGAAAACATTCACATGACTAGCATGTGATTCACGAGGTTTATTCACGTGACCATCGACAGAGCAACATGCTTCGTTCTTGCGTTGTTGCAAGAGTCGTGCGTGTCGAATTATGTCTTGCGTCATCCGTGATGCCATTTCAACGAACGCTTCTGTGATCTCACTTCTACAACATGAGAAAATATTGGGTTGAGCTCCAACATTTGGGATAATGGGGGTAACGATAATATCGTATCCATAGTGATCCATACCTGCACCCCTTGGGTCTCGCCTTGGTGTAGTCCATAAGTACTTCGCAAAAATGTCGTCCCATCGCTTCAAAATCTCCGGAATGAAAATGTCGCCCTTTGGCACTGTTAAGATGACAAAATACGCTTTATTTTTCTGTTTGCCAGGAAAGGAGGACATTAGGTGTTGTTGGAAAATCGAGTCAAAATATAGTTGGTCTGACGTCTGTATTCTAAGAGCTTACTCACATTCAAAGAGTGGAGGTTCAATCTGAGCTTCCCTTGAGTGTCAATGCTGTTTTTGAATAGCTGGAGGGTGAGTAGTCACATAGTAAGGAATGACACTAACCATCCAACTATTCAAAAACAGCATTGACACTCAAGGGAAGCTCAGATTGAACCTCCACTCTTTGAGTGCGAGTAAGCCTTTAGAATACAGGCGTAAGACCCAGCACAAATATATAGAACTTACATATTTCCAAAATTTGCTCCACAAAACGTTGCCTCCATGGTGAAACTATTCGTCACTCCCATCTGACGCCACATAACGACTCGTGCTGTGCCTTCTTTGCATTTACGTACTTTGAATTTACATTCACGGAATGAGAAGAGGTCTGGAGCCTGAAATATTCCAAGTGTGATTTTAGACCTGGTTTATGCTGTAATGTTTGTCTATTATGCATCTATATTGGAACCGAGCGCGGATAATCGAGATCCATATACATGTAGCTGGATATTCTTATATAAACGCAACCGTCATGACTGGCTCGCCTGTCTGGGCTGAGTGGTAATGCGGATTCCGATTTTAGGCTCCCTTCACAATAGGGCCAATTTACAAGCTCTACCTGAACGCTCCATAACTGACTTTGGCTGCTTACCTTAGCCGGTCGGTGGAGGTACGAGTCAGTTATACTGCAGCAGACATAAGCAGAGCGAAAAAATCTCGTTGATAAATATCTAATGCATCCTATCGGACTTGCGCTGAGCTTGGCCTAATCAGCCGCGGTTAATAGAGAGTTTAAGCTTCGCGTTCATACGTCAAACGACCGACGCCGGGCAAAGAAACATTTTATGTTACAAGGAAATAAAGAGTAAATGGACTTGTTATTTTAAAACTACTGTATAATGTGCAATGATTCTTTTGACGTAAGAAAGAAAATATGAAGTGAAGAAGTTAAACGAAAATTCTGCCAAGAAAATTCGACTCTGCCGTTTGCCGTTGCCCGTGAAGCTTAAACTTCCTAATGCTGTATAGACCATGAGAGCAGTGGCTAGCGAGGTAAGGCAGTCGGATGACGTCTACAGGTGCTTCGGCACCAGTTATTAGGCACTGAAGTAATATTTATTTTCTTTCCACCTTTTTTGACATCAACCATGGGAATAATCTCTCTTGAACAAAATCTTTGACCGATGTACCACGGCTATCTGGCGTACAACCATACATGAACACATTAGGTTTTCTGCTGTGGCCATGCAGATCACAGTATATCACAATCTAAATGAGTTAAGATCCAGTTGTACATTGTGCAAGCTATTTAATTAAACTCAGAGGATAGCTCTACCAATTCTAAACTGTAATGTCTAGTGTTTCAGTGAGGGACGTCCAGAACTGTGCCAGTGCTACTAAAATAAATACCTCTTGTTCAGAAGAGAATGACTCGACCAGCTTCTTCGCGTGATAAACTGTTGGAGACGAATCCTAAAAACAAAAAATAACAGTTGATGTTCCACCATAAATGGTTGTTCACCCCACTCTACTTTAATTTGAAACATCTCATCTTTGTACCAACCTTCTTAGGATTCATATAGGTTCTGTTGAGATCTTTGGCCGCGAGATTTGTGCGATAGTTGCCAACAATTACCCCGTCTGGGTTTAACATTGGAATTATTTTAAATACATGTTTCCTTCGCAAATTCTGTTTAAAAGAAAATAAAACATCATTGATGAGTTTCACAGGGAAGTAGATGGTGGTCAATTTCAGGGGCAAGAAAATTTAACTACATCTCTTAGATGTTAAACAACGCGCCTTATACCTAGGTGTCACACAATGTCTGGCACAATGTCTGGTTTACCTCAGCGACAGGATCTTCTGATGTGAGAAAATCTAAAAGTCCTTTCATCATCCAACTGGCGTTCGTCTCTCCCGGATGTACACGTGCTGTGACCACTACACCCAGTTTATCTTCACAAGAATCTGAAAGGAAGATGTAGCGATAGATTATGTCTTGTTACTGCTGTATCCAGTGTGATTGATGTGTGTTGGTTATTGTTGTTGTTGCTGTCGTTGTTGGTTGCTGTTGTTGCTATTGTTGTTGTTGTTGTTGCTGTTGTTGTTGGTTGCTGTTGTTGCTATTGTTGTTGTTGTTGTTGTTGTTGTTGTTGTTGTTGTTGTTGTTGTTGTTGTTGTTGTTGTTGTTGTTGTTGTTGTTGTTGTTGTTGTTGTTGTTGCTGTTGCTGCTGTTTTTGGTGGTGGTGGTGGTACTGTAACGATGTTACCAACAGTTTCTTTACCTACCTTCAGATGTAACAGTTAAGAGATAACAGTTGTTACCAGCTATTGTTTTACACAGCACCTTAAATACAAAATTGAATACCATCAACACCCAAGGTATGGTAAATTAACAACTTATAATTGGTAGGTTTCATACCAAACAAATGGTGCTGAACTTGGCCGTGTACAAGGTGAAATCATAGACCCCCATACCTGTTGTTTACAGTAACGGTACTTGATGGGATCATTAGTGATAGTTTGGAGATCATTCTCAAGATCTGTGTATGTATAGGGATAACAGTGGGTAAGATAGCATACATCATTCACGTGAGGAAATTCCTATGAATAAAACAATGTTGATTAACATACTGGATAGCTCTATTTGTGAACTGTTCTCTCTATAGAGGTCCAGTAACGGTCATTCCTTATTGATTCAATGTTACTGCAGGAGGATACCAGGTGTTTGGTAGAGTCCAACAGGAACCATATAGTTACTTAAGAAAATTTGGGCATATTTAGATGGGATGTACTCATTACCATTTGGAAGGTGAGGGAATAGTAGAGCTTGTCTCTGGATAATAATGGATGTCCTTTGATATAGTTCTGAAAATATTTAATATGATGTCCTTTTCTTGTCCATCCCAATCTCTTCCGTTCCGCTATCTTCTCTGAGTAGAACAATGGCTTCATTCCTACAAGAAAAATAAAAGCAATGCAGGGTTTTTTCCGGGATTTTTTACGGCCCCAAAAACTCGATCTTGAATTGAGTTTTGAAACTCAATCTTCTCACCAAAGTTTCAGTGCAGTAAAAATGAAGTTGTTTGAGTTAAATTCGTGACGTGTGGAAATTAGTTTTTAGTTGGAAACCCGACAATTAAAAAAAATGGCTGGAATTCATCTCACAACACAAGTAAAACTATGCATTCGCCATCATTAACCAGTTTATAGTGTCCCTTAGTGCCCCTGCTTTAACACATTCCGTCTCAACTACATTTATTGAGTACAGGTGTCAGTCCACCGGTGCAGCCACCCCCAGCTGTTCAGCTAAACTCAATCTTCTCTGCAAAAACCCTGCTTGAATGGTATAGGTGGGGTTCACAAAGCAGTATCGTGCAGCAGATGTTGGTCAACCTGCAGTTAGCAGGGTGGGAAAATAATGTTCATTCTTTTCATTACATGTAGTAAGTAATATTGTATTCGGTGCTCTACATACCATGATTATATAAGCTATCTTTCTTCAAGAAATTTATGATCGTGAATGTGTATGTAACGCCAGGAATTGTTTTTCGAACTTGGAAGTAATACCTAAACAGAGAATAGACGATCAGTACCATTGTACCAACTTTTGCAACGGGCTAGAGGCAAACCAACGACGGAGAAATTTTGTCCAAAATTTTGTTATATTCGCGAAGCACTACATTGCTCGTGATAGGTCTAGCTTTAATACGTTCATATATCCACTCACCATTGCGTGTGTCGTTTGGTATAAAGATCTGTGTTCAACACAAGTTCGTATTCATAGTTGCCACTAAAAATACAATGTTACTCCCTTAATCAAAATCCCACGAACCATTGTTACGTATAAACTAGTTTCATACTAATCTGACACTGCAATCGAGCAACGAAAAATTCGTTGGCTCGAGCGGGATTTGAACTCGCATCTTCGGGTATCTAGACCGCCGCTCTACCTATTGAGCTATCGAGTCAACAGGGATTGGTAGCGAGTCTTATCCAATTTAAGTGCACGAAATATTTTCGTGACGACTTAACGCTTGTCTTAGAGGACGCGCAGTGTTTCAATTCTATTTCAGAACCATCCTCAGAGATACGAAAAACTAGTTTCATATTAATCTGACACTGCAATCGGTATCTAGACCGCCGCTCTACCTATTGAGCTATCGAGTCAAGTCGTCACGAAAATATTTCGTGCCCTTAAATTGGATAAGACTCGCTACCAATCCCTGTTGAAACTAGTTTTTCGTATCTTTGAGGATGGTTCTGAAATTGTTACGTATTCCAGGCTAATTACAGTAACTTTTACTGTTTACGTTGTATTTTTATAGAAATCAACGTGTTACATGTGTTCACTTACATTCGTTTCGCCTGTCTAAGATTTCCACATTCAAACCTCGATTCGAACTGCAGATGTGGTGGACATCCTGGCGGAACAGCGTCTGCATCCTACGCACAATATGATAACATTTACCGACAAAAAAACAAACTAGATCCGATCCCAGGACGACCACTAAAATACAGGGTCGACTTTACTGCCAACAGTTAGAGTGGCTAGAATCTTAGCTAACTCAGGGTGTATCTATTGTAGCCCCACGTTCATTCTTTATTAACCCATTAGTGCGCAAGATTCTCCCCTCAACGATTAAAATCGTCTGGCGTTAGAATAAAATAATAAAGTAAGGCGCATTTGGGCACATTGCGGCTTATGGGTTAATAAGACACATTGGTAGAGAGTTTGGTTAACCACCAAAGGCGAGACTCTACTTTTGAAGAGTAAAATAGTTCCAAAATTTAATCTTTCATTGTCTTGTGAAAATATCTCTAATATTTTCCATTGACCGTTTAAAACAAGACAATGAATGATTAAGTTTTATGCAAAAGTTGACCGCATCCATTTAATACACGAGTGACCGTTCAATGGTTCAATTAAGATCACTTCAGCAACATTTATTTCACATCACGAAGTTTTCGAAACTTTGTCAAATGAACGTTTGGTACTTACCAAAGTATTTCTTCTCTCGGTATCGAAAACAACGACACAACCTTTCCAACATTTCGGATAATCCGGGTTCTCTTTCACCTTTACACAATTCTCGTTCGCTTCTGAAAATAGCAACAAGAGAGTCTGGTTAAACCAATGACGCTCGACATTTTCCATTTAAAAATCGCCTGGCATTAGACAGAATAAAATTACAAAGGGCGTGTCGTGGTTTAATACGTTGAGTTAATTAAAAAACAGCCTAATGGTTTCAATTGATAATCACTCCCAAAATAATATTGTTCAACAGTACAGGCCAGGAAAATTATGTGTCAAAACTTTACTTTGGTTGAGCAGGGATGTATCCAGGATGATCTAGCGTATATGTGTGTGTGTGTGTGGGGGTTGTCGTTTGTGGCAGAGGTGCATTCCGTCAAAAGTTCCATAGAAGTGCACTGGATTCCGTCAGAAGTTCCATAAATGACGGAAAGTCTTGTAACAGCGAATCACATTTTTAGGGGGTGTGGTACATTGGGTCACTGGTGACTGCAAATGGGGGAATTAAAGCCATTTGGTGAATCTTACATCAAGTACACAACACTTTCACATGGTTTATAAAATAAATGTGTAAAAGAACACGATGTCACAGAATTGTGACATTGAAGTTTCTGGAATAGTCAAAGTGTAAAAATTCTAAAGTGTTTTTGAGCTTGCAGGTAAGAGATTTCAAAATTGTTTGAAATAAAATTTGATGTCATCGAATGGCTGTGGGAAAATGTCCACCTGTTTGAACAAATATTTGGGCACTTGAGCTGGGGAGACTGCATGTCTCGCGTTTAGTGCTATATTTGCGTTCAAAGTGATGTCTTGTTCACGTCTCATTCATCTAGCAGCTGCCATACACATAATTGCAGCGATTATCTGGGTCAAAAACTGACTTTTCTTATGAAGAGAAAGTAAGATTGCCGCACGATGATTTGCTGGACATGTCAATTGTCGATTGCCTTGTAGCAAACTTGCCTTACTTTTTGGGCTGCTAGTGCTGCTATGTAGTTGAGAATTTTATTTGTCAATATATTTCTATGCTCAAGAGAGGCTACCCCAATGCAATTGGCAATACTGTAAGTATTATTACACACTATAAAGTTTCACAATATATGAAATTTCCAAATTTTTTTCTGTTTTCAGAATATTTTTTGTGAGCCAGCACTCTGCCATATAATGCCTGGACAAGTAAAATTGTCTGGCATTAGACAGAGTAAAATAACAAAGTAGGGCGCATTAGCGTGCAATATTGCAAAGCCAAATCTGCCTCCCTGCCACTTTTGAACATTTATATAAAACTGTGAGTACACAACAGCTATAAATACGATGTTTCTGTAAAAAAAACCTTTTGTTTTTCTGTACAAAAAATCATTCACACGTAAGTCATAGATACAGAAGTATAACCATGGCAACTGCATGTGAAATTCATGATAAAACTGTACACTACATTATTTAAATCCCTGTTGCTATGACACTCATGCAATTAGAACAAAATAGATGTTGCAAAATTTACAAATGTATGCGAATGTGCTGTAATTTGCTACATATTATATTGCGTTTGCATCAATTTTTTGAAAAATAGCTTGAAATCTATTACTTATTTGCCTCGAGACAACTTTGTCTGTTTAAATGTAACATTTTTATAGTAGTTACATGTAATATTTGAAAGTAAATACTGCATTAATTTTGTGTACGTGGGTTTCAAATTACATGTAACCTTGCCCCCGTAATTAGAAACACATTTTACTCGATAATTTACACCTAAACTATTCCATTCTCGCCCAGATCCAATGAACCAAAACAAACCTATATTACACAGTATAAATATGGATATTTTTTCGTTGCTATTTGCATTAAACCGCGACCAAATAAAACTACTATATTAAGTTAAGCCACGATAAGAATTTTGTGTTTACATTACGCCTATGGCGGCATGAACTCTTTGCAAACAACCTGCAGACGAAAATCAAACTTTAACTTTAAGCAAACATCATTATTACCTACCTGGGCTATTCAAATCTTCAACAAAATTCGGAATACAGTTCAAATGCTTTGGCGGAGGCATGCAAGGCATACGGCCGCTAGGAAAATACGGGCCGTTGCGCGTTGTATCTTTCACTATCGTTTCGGTGTAGTTAGGGGCGCTTATAGACCGTTTAAATTGTGTAGAACTAGTTAATATTTGTGCTGGAACCGCCTCGCAGCTCTCCCAAACGATCGGTGCGGTCTGATCGCTTTTAGGGCCAACAGAAGCGCTGCGCTTTGTGGTGATCGAACGCAATATAGGCGAAGGGACTTCACGCATCGTTCTTCGACGATTAAATTTTTCCATGTATTTTTGCCGTCTCAGCCACAATAGTTCGTCGTCTTCTTCAGCACGTCTTTCAAAAGAGGCTTGTTTTATAATGCTGCTAGCCATCGCCCGTTTCTCCTCTTCGATCTTGGCTAATCGTTTGGCAGTTAGTTCTTCTAAACGTTTGCGCTGCCGTTCCTTCGGTGGTGTTCCGAGCGCTTCGCGTACTCTCGATTCAATCTCCTTTTCAACGGATTTACGAATAACGTCGACCCATGCATCCCTGTCCTCGTCTTTTTCAAAGAGTTCACGGCTTTTTTCTTCCGAAACCCGCTGCATATCGCGTTTAAACTGTTCCCTCTTCAAACGCAAACGTTCCCTATCCATTTTCCACAGCAACGAACGCTTCGCGACACCTTGTCAATACAATTCACTTATTTGACGTCTTCATAGAGCGCCTAAAATACACTTTAATCCCCGTTTATTTGAAGCAGGACTAGCACAGCTTTAGAGCTAAAAATCCCGTGGTTTAATGGCCCACATAAATGACAAAATAAGTCCGTTTGAGGCTGTGTAAACTCGCGGATTATCGGCGAGATAAATGTGCCATATTGAAGGAAGCTATCGTGTTGCCATGGTAACAAAATGTCAAAAGGCAAATTACAGATTTGATTAGAAAACATTTGGGGGTATTTAACAAGGGTGGGTTGACTACAAAATTTTTGTAGTTTGCTATAACTACAGCTACTTCAAAAATATGTAGTCAGCTACAACTACTGCTACTTTCGGAACAAAGGTAGTTCGCTACTGACTACAGCTACTGCTTTAAAAATGTAGCGACTATTTCGCTATTTCGCTACGCTATATTGTTTAGTTTTACTGTATTTGGAGCATATACTAACTCAGGCTGAAATGTAACCTATAACAAATCGACTTACGAGTAGCAACAGTAAACACAAAGCAACATTTTTGTAAGCACTACAGTGTTCAAGAGTGCAAATTGACTATTCAGTATTGATTTTAAGCAAACCGTGTCTCAATATCATTCTATTCTATCAAGTTGCTAACAATTTTAAAAAGTAGCGAATAGCGATTCGCTGTTTGAAAAGTAGTCAACTACTCGGCTACTTTTAGGCAAAATGTAGTTCGCTATAACTGCAGCTACTGTTTTAAAAAAAAGTAGTCAAAAACTACTGGCTACTTGAAAATTGTAGTTTGCTACAGTAGCGAACTACAACTACTTCGCTACTACCCTGCACCCTTGGTAGTTATAGTAGTCATTTGTTGATCTCAACTGTGTTCAGAAATATAAAGTAGAACAATTGCCTTTTACCTCTGAGATTGCGAGTTTGATTTACGCTGCTGACGCTGATACAAGACTCATGATACAAGAATTACTTGTTTAATTAAAAAGGGTCAGTCGTCAACGTTTTCTCCGAGTGCTCTGGATCTGGTTTTCCTCCCCGCACAGGGAATGTTGACAGGGTGGGTTGGGTAAGCCCCTAATTGATCCTAGCCCGCGTGCAGGCCCAAGGGAACCACCATCAAGTTCCCTTGAGCCTGCTCCCTTGGGCCTGCACGCGGGCTAACCGTAGCTATGCTCCATGATCAGACATTAGTCATATAAAGGCAATCTCGTACCCAGAGTATGACCCGTTCGCAGGTTGGGTGAACAGGCATACTCTGGGTACGAGATTGGTCATAAGGTGGCTACTAGGGGGCGCCCTTCGAAAGCCTTCGTCTCGATCAGGTTGAGCTGCGTCCTTCGTCATTCAGCTTAGCCTTGCGTAGATTCTTCATTCCAGTTTTTCACTGTTGCAAGAACTTTTGCGCAGGAAATTTATTCTTCCAATGTCAAAACGTTACAGTCTGGAAAGTGATAAATTCTGTGGGGATTTATCTGTCATTTTGACAAAGCTTGTAAAGCTTGTAAATAAATAATTAAAGTAAATAAATAAATAAATAAAACTAAAGGATATTTAAATTTTCTATTATATTGCACGTACCGTATTTACTCGTTTGATTCGGGGGCGGCGCTCTTTAAAAAATCTTTTATTTATGAATTGTAACAAGAAGGTTTTTGTCACTAAATGTTCCCATTTTGAGGGCGGAAAGTTTTTACACTGTTTAGTGCGGCGTTTATTCGGGGGGCGGCGCTCTTTAAAAAAATTTAATCTCAAGACTCAAATCCGGCGCTAGCTCATTCGGGGGCGGCGCTCAATCGAGTAAATTATACGGTAAATTATATTACATTTGCCACTAAACACGGCAAGTTCAATACATATAGTGGACAATTTAGTGACTCTGATGACTATCTGTTCTTTCACGTTGACCATTTATGCACTTCACTGTCCCATATAACAATGTTTAAAACCACCTATATTGTCTAACTTTCCCCCCGAGACGGTGAGGGGATCGCCCCGGGGGCGGTGACGTCTCTGTCAACATTACTCAATACCTGTCGAGCAAGTCGAGATAGCAGGACTGGGTCGTCTTGATATATGAATTGTCTCTTTATCCTCATCGTCCGTGAACTCGGGAACGTTCGGATCTCCGACTGTCAGCGTGCCGTTGACCGGTGGATACTTGACGAACGCGGGCTCCTCGCTCCCAGGCTCCGCGACGAGATACGTTGTCGGGATACAAGGCAAGCTCGACATTTTTCTCAGAAATGCGCCGCGCCGATTTGTCAGGAAACCGGCCGTTGACTTTTTCCTTGCAACTTTTTCGCCATTTTCTTTGAAAGGCGCTGTTGTGTTTTTATTTTCCTTGACGTCCTCTACTTCCACAAGACCGTTCGGTTTCGTTCCGACATGTTTTTGGTTGAATTTCCCCCCCGCTCTCGTCGTCGAAATCGCGTTGCAACTTTTTGTCGACGTCGGACGGGAATGCACGGCGTCGTGATGGCTGAGCTCGATTTGGCGCCCGCCATGGACTCTCGCCGAAGAGCTTTTCCGTATGACGCTCGTGGCCGGCCGTTGGGACCTGGCATTGAATATATTCCTGGAGAAATTCTGCTGCCCACCAAGGGGTTGTAGGACACTTTTCGTAATGACCAGTTGCGGTGTCGCAACTTGTTGTCGGGATGTCGGTCTAGAACCTTCCTTTTTATACAAATGGTCGACGCTGTTCGTTCTCTGCAACGCCGTCCTTCTTTGGTTTGTCTTTATCGTCGTTCCGCATTTTGAGCACTTTGTACAACCGCCTACACTGGCCCAGAGTTTTTGACGCATCGTCGGCTCAGCCGGGATACCGTTTCGTGCGCAGTCGGTGACAGTTAAACTCGGAGGGACTGTCCGTTCTTTTTCGGATTTCGTATAAGCGTCGGTGACTTTTCGGAATAGACGTTCGATGCAAGACTTATGAAAATCGGTTGTGTAGACCACAGCGCTTCGGAACGACTCGATCAGGAGATTTGATAAGATTGCCTTATTTCGCGACCGCGGACGATTCCGATGATCACCCGAGGTACACGTGAGGTCGACGATTTCGGTCGTGTAGTAATGCTCGGGCAGTGGATTAGGCATGATATAGCTGGGTTCTCGGATGCCCACTATTGGTATCCCACGTGCAAAGGCGATGCCAAGTTGGTTCAAGAAGAAAGCATTGGTTGTAGTTTCCTCGCTGAATATAAAGAGGAAGACGTACGAGGAACTGATATTTCGGAACAGCGTGTCTTTGTTGCTTCTTGGGTCGCCGCCATTAGGGTCGTAATGAGTACGAACTGCCCAGTTCGTTGCCAAATTTGCTGTCAAAATACTCTTGGTCGGGAGAATATAGTCGTCGTCGGTCAGCTTGTTGTCGCCGCAGATGAAGACTACGCCGTTCGATCTTACAGGATCCATGACCTTTCTTGAAACTACAGTCGGTTATGACTAGCCCACACTAAAGGAGGCCGTTTAATGAATTTCAAGTGGCGGACGTCTTCTTGCCGAAAAAGTTTGACTAGAAGGTACAGTTACTCCGACCTAATCAAAACAATCTTAATCAGAAAGGATGATTGATGAATTCGAAATACAGGACCGGCTCTTCTTCTTGCCAAGAAAGTTTGAAAAAACGATCAAACTATTGCAGCCTTGTCATAGTCAGTCGCGAACCAAATGTCCCAATAATTTTCGAGTTGTATGCAGTGGAAGTGTTTTTGTTAGAACTAAAATTGAAGCGGTAATTTATTGCGAGTCGATTTTGTAATTAAGTTTAAGTCTATTCCTTTAATATCCTTGAAGAGAAGCTGACGTGTATGCCACAAATTTCGTGAACTGTTCTTTTTTGCCGCTCTTTTACCAAACACGATTCTCGAAGTCTTTAAAAGATACAACGGAACAGTGTTTAATATAGCCAAATTGCTCCGACGTAAACTGAATCAATTTTGTAATTAATTAACTCAGATGAATTTCAGATGAATTTCACAAATTTCGTAAACTCTTCAACAAAGTACGCAAATCGGTTTATTCTAAGTTGATTTTGTATTTATATGTACTTCTTCAAAACTCTAACGGCAAGTTGAATTGTATCTCACAAATTTCGTCAACTCTGCGGACTTTAACTCCACCAAAATGTTCGAAATACAGCTTTTTCAAATAAAAAAAAATGCAACAGCGTTCTCTAATACTAAATGCCTTCTTCCGAATTACATTTGTAATCGAGTCCTTGAACTATCCGAGATGAAACAAATCATACAAATTCTTTCCTCCTCTTCTAGTCGTTGTCAAAATTACTAAAACACACAATGTCAATGGAACAATGATATTCCAGCCGCGCTTTACTCTGAATTTTGTTAACGAAGGTTGCTTCGCTACGACTATTGAATCCACACCGAAATTACATTAACAACCGTCTCAACTTCTCCGGAACTGTTGAAATGAAGTTGTCTGAAATACACGATGAAACTTTACTGACTATTATTCGATCCACCAGGGTCTCCCAATTTGTAACTAAGAGTTAGTAAGTGCGTCCTTTTCTTCTATATAATTTCTTAAAGATTCTTTCAACCAGTGAAGAATAAGCTTCAATCTCTCATTTATATATATTCAGTTCTATGGCACTTGATGAAATTTAAATATTATACTCTCGCCTAACGGTCCGTATATCCTTTTGAAAAAACATGAATATCACATTAACGTAGTCCATTTATCCTTTAGTCGACCGTTCCATTCATTTAACCGAATGGCTGTTAGTAAGTCTGTTTTCCCCCACAGAATCCGACCTCACAAGGCTATTGATACAAACGCCAAATACAATTGACAGTCGGTTATAATTCTATACTCCGTTATACAAACTTCGACGAAAAAAAAAAGTTTGAATCAAAATGTCCAATCAATCTTTCCTGCCGGTGGAAGAGACTTGCCAATTCTTGCCTGGAATATAAAATTTGCCCGCGTCGTGCCACCAAATCGTGTTAAAATGGCGTCCGAAAATCAGTAAATGGCCGCTCAATGCCGCACGGATTATAAGCAAAGTCGAGCACTCGCTGTTTTTCCGTTTCCTAGCACTGACGACAGGTGCACACACTGTTATTGTTTAATCACATACTAAACAGAGAGGCTGTCACTGGCTTTTTGAATTAATTTCCACGTAATGACGAGGCAAATGTAATATACTCGAGTGCTGCACACATATAGATATCACCCGCGTGTTTGTATAGATCATGTGTAATAACACTGCACAAACCGGATGATTTTGCGTGAGAGAATACATGATAATGCCCCGTTGATACATGCATGATTTAATCACACAAGATTATAAGCGAATGAAACGCATGTTCAAGACAAACTAATGCCATGTTAATTCAATATCGAAGGCATATCTGCATGCAGATATACTCGATAAAAGCTATTGAATGAAGTCCGGATAGCACTATCTGCCGGATTTTTCAAACTTTCTAAAATTGTTGGTTGCATAGGTGTAACTCAGAATAAACTTTAGCATTTATAAGTTTCTTTCTATTGATTGTGAATTCATATTCTTAATTTTATGGCTTTTTTTAAGCATTTTCACAGCGCGGTTAAAAAAAGTTGAGGTGCATCAAATAGACTTGTTTTGGAGAGTATATTTAAATGTCCTCGCGGATAGCAGCCAATATGATTGGCCATATATATATTATATGTAATAAATGTGGAACGCACGTTTTAGACAAATGTGATGCATGTCAATTCGTACGCTGATATGATATCAAAGATATATTTAAAGCAGAGATCTGATAAAAAAATGGGCCTAAACAATAGCACGATGTCCTTAACGAGAAAATGCTAGACTACTTTAATTTATTCTAGATTGCTGGAGACCGGTCTCCCGTGAAGACGCATTTGTCAAACAGATATTGTCATTTTTGAATTCATTTCCACGTAATGACCAGGCGAATATAATGCTCTGGCAGATATACTGAGCGAAAGGTGTCTGTAGATGTGAAATGGTACTTCATACAGAGATTTATTTTTTGGGAGGAAGGAAGCTTTGCTGTACGCTGCTTTAGAAAGTACCTGCGCGCAATTGGCATATATGCATGTCAGTATCTAATAACAAAGAAATCGCGCATTTAAGATTAGTAAATGTTAATTCATGTTCTGATATTATATCGAAGATATTATCTAAAAACAGGTGCAAGTTCGATGGCTGAAATGGGTTAAAAACATTATGAATAGGAAGAGCTAAATCGGTTTCTTTATTTTTGAGATTCTAAGAATATTTGCTATTTCCTTATTGGAAAGAAAAACTTCTTTTAGATTGGGTGCGGTCCGAAGCTTTGCCGATATCAACGAGACGAAATCGATCAAAACAACGCTACAATATAATGTAATAACTAAGTAGACGCATATTCCGACAGATGTTTCTGCATGACTTAATTTTCACGTAATGACAAAGCAAAATAAATATAATTATACTCGACCTGGGATTGATATAAACTGAAGCTAAAATCACTCATCCGCGCGTTGAATAATAGGAAGGCATCAGTTTTTGGTGCATTCCAGTGAAGCATTCCCATGACGCCCTTGGGGCTTGGATCTTATTGTTTGCTAGATCATTCCCATGGCGCAATGCGCAATTTTTCGGAGCGAAGCGACTTTTGCCGAGAGGCCTGTGAAAGTATCAGACTGAAAAAATACATTTTTATGTACCGTGAAACGAAACTATTTTCAAACCGTACCAAACACACAGTGACTAAAAAAATATGCATATCAGATTTATACTCACCTGTGTCCCAATCTACTACAACGGTATAGTGGACTGGGATACAGATTTATTCGATTCATACAACACTACATGAATTCACAAATTATACAAGAGGTGGACCACCTCACCGGCCGCCCACACACTTTTCTTTATGACCAATTTTGCTCTCTCAATGTTTTCATTTAAAGTCTGGTTATGATCGTTACGATCGCTTCAATCGTTACGATTGCTGAATAAATGTACCAGCGATTGTAGTGATTATGTGGAAATCAATTGGCCTTTCTCACGCCGCCATTTTTGGGTGGCATTTCAGCCGAAGTCTGCGAGATAAGTCCACATAACAGCGACTTTTTATAATTCAGTTTTGGACGAATGATGGTAAATTTGCTTTGTAAATGCTTAGTTTATTTTGAAAAATTGCTTTTCACATTGTTTTAATTGTCTGCATTGGTTAACGAGAATTAGATGCCACCCAAAACTGGCGGATATTCGTCATCGTTTTTGGCTAATTGGTTGGCGATCGCTGCGATCGTAACGATCCTGATCGCTGATCGCTATCTCAGCAATCGTAACTGTTCTATTTTTATAGCGATCGTAATGATTGCAGCGATCGTAAAGATCATATGGAAACCAGGCTTAAGACTGATAAAATACACCAAATCTGTGGTTTTCCGATTATCATAAAATGTGTCAAAAATGCATGAAATAGCGCAGTCCCCCTAAAAATAGAAAAAATTTCCGGTGCACCATGACGATTTAGCCCTCTCCCCGCCCCCATTCCCTCAACTTGTTTTGGCCTGAATCACATTACAGTTAAAATATTCACTGTTCCTTCGGCGTCACAGTCATGCTTGCTGCTTGCTTTCCAACTTGCAAACAACTGTCTGACCTCGGCGCGATATTTTTTACTCTGCAGATAATACAAGTACGGATTCACTGTCGACGACAGACACTTCAACAGCAGTACCAAGGAATGATATTGTTTCGGCAAGACGTCTTCACCTTTCCCGAACGAGTTGACGGTGAGTCCTACGGTCGCGCTTGTACAGGAGATTATAAAAACGACCGTCACTGAAATCGTAGTGCGAACCAAAGTCTTCTTCTCCGCCAGAGCTTCGCCATTCGGAAAGCTTTCGCCACCCAGCACAGTGCGGTCTACAAAAACGCCTTTGATGATCTTTGAGTAACAATAGCTGTAAACAACCAATGGTATTGCGTGAAATGTCACTAGTGATACTATACTATATGTCAACTCGAACGTATGCCATGTCGTATTTAACTTGTCGCAATGCGAGACGCGATGAACTAAAGTTACAATAATGGGTGGAAGGTTGAACACGATTCCGACGAACCATATAAGAAATATAAATAAGTACATTTTCGTTTTGCTGATATTTACAACAGGACGCATCGGTCTAACCAACGCATTGAAGCGTTCGACTGCGATTGTCGTAAGCGTCAAGATCGCCACATCATTTGGAATAAGAATTGACCTCACGAACGTCAAATGTGTGCCCCAGACGGGGCGCAGTATAATTTCTGAGATCAAGAAAGATTCGGTAGCCAACAAATTGACAATGTCTGTTAAGGCGAGGTTTAGTATCAGATAGAGCAGAGTTGATTTTTTCAGTTTCGTTTTTCGTACAACCATTATGACCACAATGTTTGCTGGGATACCAAGCAACGCGAGAAATCCACCCGCAATAGCTGTGACCGTTGGTAACTCGTGGACATTACCACAGTCGCTGTGATTACGAGCCTAGATAATTATCAGTGTTGAACATTAGTAAGAGTACATGATGGTTCCTAGCTTTCCTGGATGCAGATTAAGCTAAACTAATTCTTAATCAATTCTGCATGGATAGCTCTATCATTTCTAAACTGTTCTTCCTAGAGGTCCAGTAAGAGTCGTCTCTTATTGATCCAGTGTTACTACAGGAGAAAACCTAAACTAAACTAACTTTATTCATACTGGATAGCTCTATCAGTTCTAAACTGTTCTTCCTAGAGGTCCAGTAAGGATCATCTCTTATTGATCCAGTGTTACTACAGAAGGAAACCTAAACTAAAGTAACTTTATTTATACTGGATAGCTAGCTCTATCATTTCTAAACTGTTCTTCCTAGAGGTCCAGTTATTCCAATAAGAGTCATCTCTTATTGATCCAGTGTTACTACAGGAGGAAACCTAAACTAAACTAACTTTATTTATACTGGATAGCTAGCTCTATCATTCAGTTCTAAACTGTTCTTCCAAGAGGTCCAGTTATTCCAATAAGAGTCGTCTCTTATTGATCCAGTGTTACTACAGGAGGAAACCTAAACTGAACTAACTTTATTTATACTGGATAGCTTTATCAGTTCTAAACTGTTCTTCCTAGGGGTCCAGTAAGGATCATCTCTCACTGATCCAGTGTTACTACAGAAGAAAACCTAAGAACTAACTTTATTTATACCGGATAGCTCTATCAGTTCTAAATTGTTCTCCACAGAGGTCCAGTAAGGATCATCTCTTATTGATCCAATGTTATAAGGAGGAAACCTAAACTAAACTAACTTTATTTGTACTGGATAGCTCTATCAGTTCTAAACTGTTCTTCCTATAGAGGTCCAGTAAAAGTCGTCTCTTATTGATCCAGTGTTACTACAGGAGGAATTGGAACCTAAACTAACTTAATTTGAACTGGATAGCTCTATCAATTCTAAATTGTTCTCCCTAGAGGTCCAGAAATAGTCGTCTCTTATTGATCCAGTATTACTACAGGAGGAAACCTAAACTGAACTAACCTAATTTGAACTGGATAGCTCTATCAATTCTAAACTGTTCTTCCTAGAGGTCCAGTAAGAGTCGTCTCTTATTGATCCAGTGTTGCGGCAGAAGGAAACCTACCTAACTTTATTTGAACTGGATAGCTCTATCAGATCTAAACTGTTCTCTTACAAGAGGACAACTCCACTAGCTAATAGCGCATTTGAATGTTTTCAGAATTCTTCAGAACGGTATGCAATCTTTAATTAATTTGCGCACATGCACAACGTCCGATCCATTAGTTTTTTTCAAAGCTGATTGCATCACAAACCGTATGAAGTATTGAAGTGTCTATATTCAACACTCGTTTACAGGATCGAGGATGCACTTATGCAGTCGTAATTAAAATTAATAAATGCTTCTTATATAGTTGTGACTTATGAGCTTCTCAGTATTCGTAAGAAGATTATCAACCATTATCCTGCAGCAGAGGAGCGCTTTTATTCAAAATAAAAAAAGCACTTTAGTCTTCAGTTTTCCGAAGCAATTGTTTTCTGACGAAAATTCGCCATGATGAAAACGATGGCGCGGCATGTCGGTCTTATAAATAACTGTTCTTTGCTATAATTTAAATCGTCTGCGACTGCAATTAAAAATCTTTGACATGATATCACATCATTTAGTAAAGATTGGCATTCTTTTGATGGATTTGGCGTCCGTATTCAGTCCTGTTCTTGCATGTGAAACAAAATATACCAACGTGTCCATTTCGCCATGCCCTTTTGTGGGCAGAAAATGTCATATTTTTAAAACAAAAGCCACTGCTTTGCAGACACAAAATTTCGTCAGAAAGTAGCCATTATTAATTAAACATATACTCTTATTCATGTGAAACATTTATTATCGCTGACGATTTAAATTTGAGCAAGGAACTTATCACTATAGGATCGACATGCCGCCATCTTTTTTATGGCAGATTGAAACATTGTTCGGTTTTCAAAAAATGAAAACACTGTTGTAGTGTTAATCAAAATTGTCTGGAATGTGGTTGTCTTATTAATAATTCTAACTCTAGATTAGAGCCATAGTCTGTATACTAACTACATTCTGATTGGCTATAAACCTTCGAACAAAGCCAGACTCTGCATTTTCATGAAATTGACTTTTTGTTACATGCAAAACCACACATGCAAAAAGGCTATCGTATTTTTGAATTGACAGTTCCTTGAGGCTGTCTAGATAAATCGTTTACAGTTTTACGTCTGATAAAATCGCGGGCTACCCATATTTATTTTGACAAAAAAACTTAATCCTCTTAGTATAGTTTCGGCACACTTTTGAATTTGCTATTTGCTAATACTGTACGAAAAATTGCATATTATATTATTTGCCCAAGATACTGATTAAAAAAGAATTATTTAATTTAAGTTTAGGAGATTGTCAGCTTACATTGAAGTATATAGCCGCGGCATTCAGTGTGATAATTTATTATTCTGTTTATACAATTTGCAGACACGGTTATTTGACTCTTTTATCCTCGTTCAAATTTTAATAAAGTCGAGGTTTTTTCGAATGTTATCTTATCAGCTGTTTTACTTAAAATGCGGTCAGTTCAGATATGAGTTTTCCTTATATTTAAAAAGTACATACTATTATTCATATTCAAGGGGCCTGCATGAATATTGAAAATAATTATTTTAAATTTCGTTTAAAATTGGCATGGTTAAAAGTTTTAAAATGTGACGTAAGCCGGTCGTATACAGGAGCTATATATAGGCCTATATAATCATATTTTATTTTGTTTTAAGCCCCGTATACACGCGAGCAAACTTTATTTGACAAATTTCATATGTCAAAGATATTTTTCTCGTGTAGATGATGCATTTGTGACAAATTTACTGTGACAAATGCATTTGAACAAAAGCATGCTAGCTTTTCAATGATCAAATGCATTTGTCATATTAAATGTGTCAAATAAAATTTGCTCGTGTAAACGGGGCTTTAAGATATCGAAACCGTTCATTTTATTTTCATTTTTTGAACACTTTAGCCTACCGGTTCGACAGCGTTGCATTTCAATCTGCTCATGTCGAACTCTCGATATAAGGCAATACTGTGGCTTTTGAACCGATTATATAGTATTAATAGTATGTACAAATTCACATAAATGGTTTGCATAGGCATGAATAATAAACGTCCACATTGAGTAACTGGGACTCTCTCTCTATATATATATATGGATATTGCAATACCAATTTCACAGAGCCTAAAATGACAGCTAATTTTTCCCATTCTGTAAATATCAAAGATAAACTAATACATGCAGCTAAAAACCACGTTCTTGTCAGAAAACTGACATGATGAAAAAGCTTTGCTTGGGGATTAAGAGTATTAAGCATATATGTGCATGACATACTACTTTCCAACAAAGAGATGCACACTCGCAGTCTCAGATGATTGCGTGCATGCATGTTTACTAAGCAATTTAAACTTTTTTTACGAAAAGAGGATGTGCATGCATTCTTGACTAAGATCTACACCTGCATGTAAGAAAATGTTATGTACATATAATTATACTAGTCTCAAACACCTCTGAAATTATATTCCTTCAAAAGTTTTCTAAAGCGCAACTCAAGATGAAACAAACGATTAGTATTGGTGTGCCTAAAAGGCTAAAAGGAACCTATATTTAAACTTATATGCCGTTGAGTGTCGCGTCTATATTTATTTCGGTAAATATATGACTTGTCTTTATTAATAAACTTGAATGATGCTCTAGAATTAAGTAGACAGAAAAGCATACATAATCTTACTTTGCCTTGAGTGCGCGGCACGTATGTGTGGGCCTTATCGTTCTTAAACTACTTTCATTAGACCGAAAATTGGCGCAAAAATACTATTGAAATTTATACATGCCTTATAGGAAGACCGTATCTGATGCATCACTATCATGTTTTGTCTTTGCGGGGTGACAATTTGCCAAACCGTATCGCAAGCGTGATATGTATTAGTTTTTATGAACCTAACTAATTTTCGGTTAAACATGTATGTTTCGCCAAGGCAACTCGGCTTGAAATCAAAATTAAAACCTATTTGAAACGTGCTAAAGTTGTAATTATAAAACCCATTAATATATCGAGTATTCATTTGAAACAACTCATTCAAAACAAACTTTGGTATAGATAGCAACAACAAATTAATATTTTTTCTCGACGTTTCCAATTTAAGAGCCTATAGTAATGGCTGTGGTTGCCAATATGGTCAGCTTGAATTGAGGGTTTAGAAAAGGATCGACACCGCACGCGCGTCACATCAAATTGCATCACGCTGAACTGAATTAAGCGGCCGAGATTAAGCCAATACGTCTACTTATTATTTCAAACGCGGGGGTCCAGTGTATGTAGTATTCTACAATAACTACCGCGGTTTGTGTCTGAACTACCTGAAAAAGATATCTCAAACAACGTGGTGGTCCAGTGTAGGTAGTATTTTACAACAAGCTGTCCGTGGTCTGAATTACCTGAAAAAGATATCTCAAACGTGGTGGTCCAGTGTAGGTAATATTCTACAATAAGCTGTCGTGGTTTGTGTCTGAACTACCTGAAAAAGATATCTCAAAGGTGGGGGTATAGTATATTCTGGAACAATTAGGCTACAGCGGTTTTTGTCGGAATTTCTTGAAAAAAGATAAAAGAACTTGCCCTCTCGAAACGTTAAGGATGACTATTTTTAATCTTCTTCACGCCGTTCCGACAAGTGGAGGCTTCGTGTACTACTATATTACCAAGCGAACAATAAGCCATCCATGAAATCATTTAACGATACATAGGCATACTGTGTAAAGGCTAAACTATAATATTTAGCGATCAAACTTACCATGTCAACAGTCGTCTTTGGTTCTTCTAGCTTTTACAACGAAGAACAATTACTCGCATGCATATTTGTATAATATTCAACGTTCAGACGACATCATGTCTCTAAGTAATTAAAAGCAATGTGGCGAAGTTCCGAACTATAAGTACGTTTAAACATACTTTATTGATAGCTTCATTTACATAATTAGTACGACCAGCCCGGTGGACATTGGCCTCGAGTTCCGATCCGGAATTTGCAATCGCATTTTATCAGCCGTTAGAGATACCTCCACTTCTTCCGGTTTTGATAAAGTAGCGCTCGTTACAGTATTCCGGTACGAGACTTTGCATAAATGTAACATACGAGTCAGATCGAACGACGAGGAGCTGTATGGACAGTAGAGGACAGTAGAAGTATTTTGTTGTTGAATAGTATCCTGCATGATGTTTTGTGCACGCATATATTTCTTTTTCAATCAACTCTATAACCTTTTTGTATATACAATCAATGTAATTCATATAGTTCCGTCTTCAGACACTATATTCAGAAATATATGGATTTATATATACTATGTAAATCCAAGTATCTTTAAGTTTAGAATAATTTAGACTATGTTTATTATGTAATATTACTGAAGGTTTACCGTGGGTTTTTTTTGTGTTTTTTTTTTAATAAAGGCGATGTATGAGCCGAGTGTAGCTACTAACCAGGATTTTCAAAATAATGAAGAGACAATATGGTACCGATCCTGTGTTTGGTCGAGTCAAACTGGACTGACACTCTTCGATCCTCACATGTAATTTGCCAAGACTGTTTTGGGTTGTTTTTTTAGTTTTGGAAGCACATTTAAGCCGTTTGTTTCAAATATACAAAGTCGGCTAGTCAAAACATAATTAGATCTATCGTATACGAACGTATTTTGTTGACAAAATGATAAGAAAACAGCTGCGGTTTAAAGCAACAAAACATAAAGCAAATCTTATTTTGCACGGGGTGCGAGGCAGTAAAGAAGATTTTTGTTTATGTGCATGGGAAGTGATGTAAGCTATACTGAGCCTATATGATTATTGTCTGTTCTAAAGGGTGGGCAATCGCTTAACAGCACCGACATAAACTGTTTGGTGGTATTGGTTACATGTCTTTCATCTCGGTGACCATATGCCCTAGGGGTCGATTCTTGCAATAAAAATGCAATGCCCGCCTTAGGTCGTGCGAGACTACACAGTTTCATAATCTATAATGATTAGGACACAATTTTGCTACTAATTTATTTGATCCGAATATCGTCAGGAAATCAAATATATATATAGCCATTTATCTTGTGCAATCTCTGTATGACGTGCGACATGGCTTCATTGGCATAATCTCAATTACGAAAAGCAGTTACTGTCAATCTTCGCGGTATAAAAGCCTAAGCCCTTACATTCATGCAAACCAAAAGCACTTTGTTTAATGCTTATATATATATATATATATATATATATATATATATATATATATATATATATATATATATATATATATATAATTGAAAACACACTAAAATTTTAAAAAGCACTTGAAAAATTCAATCAAGAAGAAATTTAAACTGCAAGAGGCCACTTTAATTGGGTTTATATTTCCATATTCAATTTAAATCTTCCGGTTAAAAGATTGATCAATTTATAAATGTAATGACTAATGTATAATTGAGATTGGATTTTGGGTATGGAATTAATATTAATTTATTTGCCTGTCATGGTCTAATCAGAATGTCGCATTGTTTTATTGTTCTGAAGATCCCACTATTCTCCATGCCATTCAGTCATGATCCAGTGATCAGACTGTTCCATTGTCTTTTCATTGTTCTGAAGATCCCACTATTCTCCATGCCATTCAGTCATGATCCAGTGATCAGACTGTTCCATTGTCTTTTCATTGTTTTGAAAATTCCACTGTTCTCCATGCCATCTAGTCATGATTCAGTGATCAGACTGTTCCATTGTCTTTTCATTGTTTTGAAAATCCCACTGTTCTTCATGCCATCCAGTCATGATCCATTGATCAGACTGCTCAGGCACGTTAATGCCTGGGTCTGCCCACGCTTGGATGATATCTTGCGCGCGTGTTGCACGCGCGATCTGTCAGTAATGCGTCTGTTAGAATATTCGCCCCTTGTGTGAGTATTTTAGTGAATTCGGGCGTTTGCTTCAAATCAAAATATAGTATATATGAGCGACAGGATTATTTTGGAATATACAATGCAAAGAAGTCGGTATACTATTCAGTTTTGATGTAATAATTGGCTTTTTGTATAGCAATAAGTATTGTATCATTTGCGACAGCTGACCTTTGAACTGCTGATAAATAAAAGCTTCTTATAGTGCGCTATCTTGCGATTATTCAGTATTAATTGTTGACTGTTTCTTAATTTCAATGAAAAATTGCTTGTGAATTACAAATTAATAGCACATATAGTTCACTCGGGACTTTTCCACCATGGCATACTTCCCTTCAAGCATTAACTATGCTTCAAGATATCGGCTTGAATGCGCAATGAATGTTGTTTTTGGAAATATAATATCCCTTACAATAAGCGGCAGACTGTTTCATTATGGCGCGTGAAATTCATCACGCGAAAAACGCGTTCGACTTGCAGCAGGGTAATTTCACGAAATTTTGCTATGTTTGATAGCTAAAATCATTAACAAGGGAACAAAGTTTCCTGCGTTAATTTGGAAACCGTACATTTATTTGTAGATAACATTTAATGACGCGATTAACATTCGTTTGATGCCGATCATCGTAATATAGCCGCATAAAATAATGAAACGAAGCCTAAATGTAAACTTTCCGAATTTATTCATTTTTTGTGTTGTTTTTCGAAATATACATCACGTGATCGTTGCCATGACAACGAAAAGTAGGTCAACTTTTAGAAATTCCTTTGATAAATCATATAAAACTTGAATGGTAATAATCAAGGCCATACTTACTTTTTTATGATTTTTTGTTTATTTTCGCTAAATACACAAACTGAGACCCAGGCATTAATGTACTCGAGGATGTTCCATTGTCTTTTCATTGTTTTGAAAATCCCACTGTTCTTCATGCCATCCAGTCATGATCCAGTGATCAGAATGTTCCATTGTCTTTTCATTGTTTTGAAAATCCCACTGTTCTCCATGTCATCCAGTCATGATCCATTGATCAGACTGTTCCATTGTCTTTTCAGTGTTTTGAAAATCCCACTGTTCTCCATGCCATCCAGTCATGATCCAGTGATCAGAATGTTCCATTGTCTTTTCATTGTTTTGAAAATCCCACTGTTCTCCATGTTATCCAGTCATGATCCAGTGATCAGAATGTTCCATTGTCCTTTCATTGTCCCACTGTTCTCCATGCCATCCAGTCATGATCCAGTGATCAGACTGTTCCATTGTCTTTTCAGTGTTTTGAAAATCCCACTGTTCTCCATGCCATCCAGTCATGATCCAGTGATCAGAATGTTCCACTGTCTTTTCATTGTTTTGAAAATCCTATTCTGCAGTCATGCACTCATACAAATTTTCAAAATCATTAGCCAAAAAGCAGTGAATTAATTTAGTAAAATTTATGTCTTTTCTCAATAGAAAATACATTTTTATCAAGCTGGCTCAATCATCAACGATTACTCCCATGTGATCGATGCCACAACTGATCCGTAGTACATTTGAGGGAAGATCAACCTGCAAATACAGGAGGAAACCTAAACTAAGCTAACTTCATTTATACTGGATAGTTCTATCAGTTCCAAACTGTTCTTCCTACAAGACCAGTAAGGATCATCTCTTATTGATCCAGTGTTACCACAGGAGGAAACCTACACTAAATTAACTTTATTTATACTGGATGGCTCTATCAGTTTTAAACTCTTCTTCCTAGAGGTCCAGTAAGGATCATCTCTTATTGATCCAGTGTTACTACAGGAGGAAACCTAAACTAAACTAACTTCATTTATACTGGAAGGCTCTATCAGTTCTAAACTGTTCTTCCTAGATGTCCAGTAAAGATCGTCTCTTATTGATCCAGTGTTACTACAGGATGAAACCTAAACTAAACTAACTTTATTTATACTGGATAGTTCTATCAGTTCCAAACTGTTCTTCCTAGAGGTCCAGTAAAGATCATCTCTTATTGATCCAGTGTTACTACAGGAGGAAACCTAAACTAAACTAACTTTATTTATACTGGATAGTTCTATCAGTTCCAAACTGTTCTTCCTAGAGGTCCAGTAAAGATCATCTCTTACTGATCCAGTGTTACTACAGGATGAAACCTAAACTAAACTAACTTCATTTATACTGGATGGTTCTATCAGTTCCAAACTGTTCTTCCTAGAGGTCCAGTAAGGATCATCTCTTATTGATCCAGTGTTACTACAGGAGGAAACCTAAACTAAACTTACTTTATTTATACTGGATAGCTCTATCAGTTCTAAACTGTTCTTCCTACAGGTCCAGTAAGGATCATCTCTTATTGATCCAGTGTTACTACAGGAGGAAACCTATAAACTAAACAAACTTTATTTATACTGGATAGCTCTATCAGTTCTGAACTGTTCTCCCCAGAGGTCCAGTAAGGATCATCTCTTATTGAACCAGTGTTACTACAGGAGGAAACCTAAACTAAACTAACTTTATTTATACTGGATAGCTCTATCAGTTCTAAACTGTTCTCCCCAGAGGTCCAGTAAGGATCATCTCTTATTGATCCAGTGTTATTACAAGAGGAAACGGGAGTTCCCGAAGAAAACCTGTGGTGTTTGATAGAGTCAAACTTAAAGTATTATTCCCTAATGTAAAAAGATATGTTTTTTGTATGTTTAGTATATACCTTCTTTGGTGAACAAGAATATAATGCGTGATTTAGTTTTCCCCACATGTAAACTTCTTTCTCATCTGCAATTAATAGAAAAATGTACATTGTGAGACTTTTAATCTGTTTCATCGTAAGTCGTACGACTTTTAATCTGTTCAAATTGTTCAGCAAATCATGTCTATCAATCTACCTGTCAACAAGACGTAGCAATGAAGGCCACAGTCCACTTTGATTACACGCTTTTCCAACAACGTTAGTTTTTGCGGAGCTGGACTGAAAGATGGCTCAGAGCTATTGCCCAACAAACCATAGCCCCAACTAAAGACAGCGCCATCATCTATAACATTAGATAATTACCAAATATAATCAATCAATGATAATTGATGGTATTATTGAAGCTGGTTACTATGGGAACTATCTTTTCTTGAGCCCTTGTAGTTTTCTCCGCGGGGACTTGGGTTTCCTCCCACGGGGAATGTTGACAGGGGGATACATAGTAGATAGACAATGGTTACCAGTATCGTTTCGAACCTGTTAACGCGAGACCGATGGAGTTACCAATGGCGATATCAACAACATTCTGTAGTGAGGTGATTTTGGTCGGTTTTGTGATCTAGAAAAGTCCATAGACAATGTTGGTGATAAAATGTCTAAAACTTAATATGCAGTAATATACAGAATTTTCAGTGTTGGTGACCCATTGGTTAGCATTATATCTCATGATTTCACTTCTCTGATTAGCTTTGCTGGAAGTGAAGCGTGCCATAGAAGGGTCTGGAAAGGACTTTGGAAAGTCTAAGCAACATTGCGCAAACTAAGGTCGGATGTCTCCAGCATAAACAGTTGAGAATAGTGTAGAAATACATTTAGTAAAATTTTAGTCTAACCAATGTTTCTTCAGTTGAAAATCCCAGTTGACTATATTCTGAGTTTCCCCACGAAAACACCTGACCACAATCTAAAGAGGATATAAGCGTGTGTAACTGCTATAAACCTAGCATGCGCGGAGATGGTGGTCAACCATATAATAATTCCTGTTTAGGTTAATTTGTTAGAAAACTAACTCATTATTTTCCTTACTTGACAGGGCAAGACAAGAATCAGATTTCGTCGCGACTTTATTTATCTTTACATGTGATGGCATTTGGATTGGGATAAGCGATCGTTGCTCCTCACAGTGTCCTAAACCTTTAACGTAAAATAACGTGGAATCCTTTCAAAGAGGTAGAAGCTAGCCATTTTCAGGAACTCAAAAAGATCATTATTGTAGGCAAGAGAAAATGAATTACCCGTCTGGCCGTCAGCACTCCAACCGCACGACCATACATCACCGTCTTCTGTTAGGAGAAGGGTGTGGTCAAGACCACAAACGACCTGGTGGATGAGGAATGAAGAATGGAATGTATTGAACTTTGACCGTTAGGTAGTACTGTTACCTTTAAACCAATCAGATGCATTTATTCTAACCAATTAACCAATCAAATTAATATTTAGGGCGCTTTCCCATTAACACGGCGAGACCGGTGAGAACGGTCACATTGTTGAATGGAACACAATACATTTGGAGTTCGGGTCAATCTAATCCGAAAATTTGGATCAATTTTGACGGAGATCCATTTTCGGCAGATTTTCGAGAGGCCTGAGGCCCTGAACCAGATCTTTCCATTAATACAGAGAGAAAAATTCTGGTCCGGTCTGGCCATTAAATGGAAGAGACCGGTCTGGCCATTAAATCGAGAGACCGGTCTGGCCATTAAATGGAAAGCGCCCTTAAGTCTATTAAGCCCCAGTGAGATGTGGCGGAAGTCAAATCTGAACATCTATATTAATACCAAGAAGTTTACCATCATTTTACAACCGGTTTTATACCTGTTTTACAGCGGTTTCAGTTGGCGATGGTATCTTGGTGAGGGATGTTATTTCATCTTTTTCTCCCAGACCACACTGACCTAGCTTATTGCATCCAGACGCAAATACTGAAGAAATCAAAGACAAAATTGAACTAAAAAGTAATTATATTTCCGCTTACTTTCTCAATCAACATTTACAAATACAAATGCGCTTTTCATCTGTGTTGGACCACAGTTGAACCGTCCTCCAATGTGCAGTTGTTTGAATATAATATCACCATCAGAGTAAACATTAAACACAGGTTTTTTTCCATTAGTACTCTGGTTTTCTCTTGTAGTAGCACTGAAGAAATGATCTCAAGGATTATAGAGCTGAGCTGTCTAAATCTGATAGAGCTATCCAGTACAAAAAAGTTCGTTTTTAGTTACATCCTTCAGTGGTTGAAAGAACTGTGTGAAGTCGTCCACAGGATATGTCGAAGATTTGAGAGTCTGATTTTATAAATGGTAGTTCCACTTTTGTTAACTTGTCAACCACTAAATAAAAAGGACACCATTCAGTTGTTCGGCATGACGTCAGTCACCAGCCAGACAGCACCACTCGGCCAGTGAAACTTACCATTATTTTGATAAGAAGGCACACCAAGTTGAGAGTTACCATTCACTCCTGACACCATGAGCTGCTGGTGATCTGTGCAGAGCACAGTGAACCCATAACCACACGCAAGATTGCTGTAGTTACTCTGTCATAGATCAATACATTTTAACAATTGAAAAAACATTTATTATAGAAAATTATCTATTTAAAATCCTGCCCAAATTATCTCATTCGATATTTATAAAGAATTAATATTTGATGGTATTATACAGTTAATAGGTGTGGAAATTGGTAGTATAAAAGATTACCAGTAATGGTTCATTTGTCTTGGTAAAAACATGAATGTCATCACAATTAGCTGTTGGTTGGTCAGCATTTTGACTTTTCCCAAATCGACCTGCTGAAATGTTGAAATTCCCTGCAGATAGATATAAATGCCACTTATATTAATGTCATAGATGGCACTAGCCAGCTGTCCAAATCATTGCCGGCTAATGACACAGGCCAGCAATAGATCGGATTGCCAATTAAGATTTCCTGGCTGGTAAGACATGCAAGGAATGGGCGATCAGGATGGGGGCGTTATTTATTATTGGTCAATTGGGTCTTTAAGGTGTAATTTTCAGCCACTTTGCAATACCATCCTTTCATCTGGCAGTAGTGGACCTAGGTTCACAACAATGCACCCTTTCAATTTACGCCCACTCCACCAAATAAACCCAGGGTTATAAATATATTGCACCCTTCCAATTAATGGATCATCTCAGCCAAGGAAAGTTCAACACAAGTTGTATCCATGGGTCACACCCCTATCTTACACCTTTGCCACACCCATATACCCGGTGAGTAACTTAATTTATGCCATACTTATCACCCCTATACTACATAAATTTTCATAAATTTATCTACTCTAAATTTTCACTCACTGCATTTTCTCAACTTCAAAACAAAAAATCCACGCGCATACAACCTTGAACGATATTTTAAGACATTCATTCAGCCTTCTATAATCAATCCAAGTGGAAAATTTTTGTTTAAAATTGTACAATTAAAAAAGCAGCATGAATATAGATATATATTGTGAATTTATAATTTTGCCGAGTCAGCTATTTCTAGAAAGTTTTCATTAGTTCCCAGTCCATTTAGAATCGCTCTCTCTTTTTAAAAGTCCAAATTTTGTTGAGGAAGAACAATATTTATTAAATTGAACAGAAAAATTTGCTTTTTTTGTAATCGAATCGACATCTTTCAGGTGGGTGTTTAGTATTTTATAAATCATAATTGCCTCCTTCGTTTTTCTCTCGATTTAATTTAGAAATCAGTTTAGTATAGTATTAAAACATAAACAAATAAAGTCTTCACAAAATTTCTAACCCAAAATTGGATCGTATTCAACTATATATACATATTCACGTATATTTTAGAGTAATTTAATAGGAGTACATTTTATTAACTGAGTCAGAAAAATACAATCAACTATCTGAAAATCGTATGTGTCTCTGTGTATTAAAATATGCCATTAGACAAATTTTTAAAGAGGACAATATCAATTGGCAATATAACTTTTGGTTAGAGCTTGTCAACTGACCTCTGTAGCTCAGTTGGTTAGAGCACTGTGCAAGAATTACAGGGCCATAGGTTCGATTCCTGTCAGAGAGCCTATAGTTTCCCCTGTGTGAGTAAAATCATCTGGCGTTAGACAGAGTAAAATAATAAAGTAGGGCGCAATGCGACTCAATGGGTTAATATTGAGCCATTCTTACGTCTCCACAGTGATAGATCCACAGTGCAACCATGGCCCGAGGACAACAGAAGATTCAGTCGCAACAAAAGAATGCTGAGAAACAGGCAAAACTAAATAAAGGTGGACACGACCACAAGAAAGCGGCGAAGGTCGCTCTCGTCTTTACTTGTACCGTGTGCAAGTCACAGATGCCAGATCCCAAGACGTATAAACAGCACTTTGAGAGCAAACATCCCAAATCAGCTCTGCCTGAAGAACTAAAGAGTGTTTAAATTTCAGGTCATAACAAGTTAGTATACGTTCTGTATAATCACATTGGAATAAACAGCAAATGCTTTTTGCCATTGCCTTGTTCTCTTTAGTTGAAATTTCAAAGGTAGGGGGGGGGGGGATTTGCCCCCTCCTAGCCACTGTGCTGGAATTAATTTCAAACTTGTTTGCAAATTGAAAAAGTTTTTGTTTTTTTCTAGAATATCTCGGGACATACTGGCTACGGAACTGTTATCATACTTAATTTCTATCACGTACATAAAACTGCCTATCATATACATATTTCACTAAAACAGAAACTAAGGCACATACTGTATTGTGTAAATGCGATTTATTTGAGGGATTTTGAGTTTGTGTAATGTACAATATTATATATTTTATTTATGTACTTTAGTATAGTTTATTGGAAAAATATTCATTTTACAAGATTCTATATTTTGCTGTGAATGTATTTGTTGTATAAAAAGATGAAATACTATTGTGTTGCAATGTTGCATTGAACTTGGTCTGGGGCCTATATTGACACTTCCCCATTCCCAGTTTGGTAAGCCACTTATTACTGTAAAATGGTATGTTATGGGAAACAACATTTTGGCTAAACTTAACATACAACAATGGGCTTGTCTGTGGAGAGTATAAGCAGATGGGGCTTGGCCGATATTACGACAGTACAACCACAAAATAGGAAAGTACAGCAGAAGGTTAGTGTAACTTGAGTCGGTGTTTACATCCATCTTGCTCATCAGCCATCCTGGCTAGTACAGCCGGAAGTTTTTATCAGGTTTTAGTAGGTACAAAGTGCCGGTTGTACTAGCCAGGATGGCATGATTGATGACGAATCGCTTTTAAAAATGCAGACAAATACTAGCTTAAGTGAGACATCTGGCACAGAATACTACACAGAAGTCCATCTCCATTGTTTTTTGCGTAAGTGTTATTTGTCATGATTCGTCACTCAGCAAGTACCGTAAACAGAAGCAGTCACCCCCTGGAAATACTAAAAATGGCACATGTCCAGGGGGATGACTGCTTCTGTTTACGGTACTTGCTGACTGACGAATCATGACGAATAAGCTTATGCAAAAAAACAATGGAGATGGACTTCTGTGTAGTATTCACTATTCTGTGCTTCTGGTGTACCTTCCTATTCTGTGATACAACTAAGCCACTGATCTATATAGAATACATTGTATACTATATATATAATAGAGGTGTGCAAATCCGATTGGATTCGTTATAGTCTAAATCCAAATCTAATTAATCCAAGTCTAAATCCAAATCTAATTTATAAGATGCCAGTTACAAATTGCAGTTTTATCATTTGTCACCAATCAGCTAAGATATTTTGTCAGAATGCCACCAATACCATGCCAGTAGTCAAATGTAATTCAGACAATCTATATAAGTCAGTGGTAGTAAATCAAGATGGATCCGATTCGTATATTTGCATCGCACTCCGACTGCCTGCCGCAAAAATAGTCGAAACATCAGCGACTTTTTACGGCAAACGGTCCGAGTGTGCTGTAAATGACGAATCGGGTCCATCTTGATTTGAAAATTTTCCAAACATCAAAGAAAGTCATCAATTGTTCAAAAATTTTAACTTTTTTTGTTATAAATGGATAGAATTCTTCGTCTAGGTGCCGGTGGTTTGCCTGGCGTTGGACAGGTAATATTAAAGAGTTTTTAATTGTGTTTTTTTTCTAGACAGAGCGTGTCACTAATAATCATTGCTGTCACATGTTGTATTTAATACTTTTAATACTTGTATACAATTTTGAAAAGGACATCAAGAATTTAAAAGCCTTTTCAAGCAAAAAGATAAAATATGATAACGAACTTCAATAGAACAAGGTCATGTCACAGGCTTATTTCAATAGTCTAATCCTTGGCTAGTGACTTTCCCAAACTTGTGAAGTCACCATTTAAATTTTTTATTTTTACCATACACTCAGTCACCTATTAACCCTCTAAGGCTCTGGTCACCAGGGTACGATAATTTGCGTACTTACGTCCGGAGGTACACCAATATTACTGTCTGGTACTTCTTTGTTTTCAGCCACGTACCACGTAGGTACGCGGAACTCTTGCTATCTGCGTACTTATTTTTTGCTGGTACCACATGACCTTTCCAAGTCCAAGGTATTCAATACCGTAATTTAGTTGGTATATCATGTGTCTGAGATGTCTTGGCATGAAACATGATTACACTGATGGCACTAAGAAACGTTGGAGTCGGTTGTTTGAAATAGCAAAACTCTGTTTTTAAATAGCAAAACACCCTTTTCAAATAGCAAAACACCCTTTTCAAATAGCAAAACACCCTTTTCAAATAGCAAAACAACCTTTTCAAATAGCAAAACACCCTTTTTAAATAGCAAAACACCCTTTTCAAATAGAAAAACACCCTTTTCAAATAGCAAAACTCCTTTTTCAAATAACAAAACTCCCTTTTCAAATAGCAAAACTCCTTTTTCAAATAGCAAAACTCCCTTTTCAAATAGCAAAACTCTGTTTGCTACCTCGTAGTCTGAACATACTTTTCAGAAACCTGTACTTTATGAACCTTATTTAAAGACTAAGTACACATTGAGTACCGAGTTTGTTCTAGCGCAAGTACGCGGCAACAACCATTGGCGTACCAGTCAGGTACGACTAGAAATCTTGAACGATTGCACCCTATGTTCACATGGTGTGAAATGAATCAATACTTTTTTTTTGACAACTTGACGATAAAAAATTAGTCTATATAAATGGGAATTGTCTATTGATGATTAAAGTTGTGTTTTTTTCATGGTTTAAGAGCCCCCCAAGCGATGCACCAATAGTCGACACTGCGGAACAGGTTTATATATCATCTCTAGCCTTGCTAAAGGTAAGATTAAACCATTTCACACACAAAATATCTTTAGTTTGTTAATTTTATAACCATGGTTCTGGCTTTTACTTACATTATTTCATTTTTTTATGTGTTCCATGGCAGATGCTAAAACATGGTAAGATTTTGGTCTGGGCAAATAACATTTTCTTCTATCAAGACTAATATTATTCCTTGGTAATATCTGACAACTTGTCATTGGTTTAGGACGTGCTGGTGTACCCATGGAGGTCATGGGCTTGATGCTGGGAGAATTTGTTGACGACTATACTGTCCGTGTTATCGATGTTTTTGCTATGCCACAGAGTGGTACGGTAAGTAAAAGATAGTTAGACTAAACTAAGTTGATAGCTCTATCAGTTCTTAAAGTGCGACTAACTACAAATATGATTTTGGTATGTGTAATATTTGGGTCATTCGAAGAAGAATTGTAACATATCTTTATAATAAAAAATACTATCTTGATCAACATTTTCACTGTCAAAGTTTGCGGATATGATGTCATTAGGTGAATTGCAAATTAGTTTTCCTTTGTTTTTTGTACCAAAAATTCACCTAATGACATCATATCTGGAACTTTGACAATGAAAAAGTTGATCAAGATGAGGTTTTTTACCATAGAGATATATATAACATTTCTTTTTAGAATGACCCAAATATTAGACATACCAAAAATCATATTTGGGCTTAGTCCCACTTTAATTGTTCTCCCTCAAAGTTCAGAAAGTGTCATTCTCCACTGATCCAGTTTTACTATAGCAGGAAAAGCACTCACATGTAAAATTTGTGCAAATCACATAAAATTTTCTGTTGTCATATTATACATAAAATTTTGTTAAAAATTTTGTTTTTGTTGTTATATTATACATAAAATTCTGTTGTCGTATATATACATAAAATTTTCTGTTGTCATATTTAGGGTGTGAGTGTCGAGGCAGTCGACCCAGTATTTCAAGCGAAGATGTTGGACATGTTGCGACAAACAGGACGGCCAGAGATGGTAGTTGGTTGGTATCATTCTCATCCAGGTTTTGGCTGCTGGCTTTCTGGTGTTGATATAAATACCCAACAGGTGTGGCTTCATGATTTTCTGATTTTCATTAGGGTGCTATATTGCTTCTTCATAATTAGTCCAACCTGTAATTTTTGTCACCAGAGTTTTGAAGCGTTATCCGAAAGGGCAGTTGCTGTCGTGGTCGATCCAATACAAAGTGTGAAAGGAAAGGTAAAAATATACATAACTCATGTACATTGTGATTGTCTCCAAGCAACCTCATGTTTGTTGGAAGCGGATCTCGTCTCATTTGTTAGAGGGGGGTGGAGATTTTCTAGAGGTGGTGCATTACTATGGGGATCGGGGGCCATTCTCCCCTCCAAAAAAGAGAAAAGTGCTACATTATATGGTGACCTGCCGTATTGGTGCTTGAACATTTCCTTGCGTAATCAAAAATCAATCATGTCAATATAATAAGTAGTATTCACAACTCGATTATGGAATACCAGAGTTTTATTCTAGGGGATGCTGGGGGGTTGCGCATCCCTCTACACCCCACTGGTAGATCCACCCCTGGGGCCGGTTGTATAAAAAAGTGATTAAAGTTAACTATGATTAAGTGTAAATGTCATCCAATAAAAAGCGCCTATTTGAGAGTTAATCACTATTTAACTACGAAATAGTGATTAAAAAAGTGATTAAGAGTTTTATACAACCGGCCCCGGATGTTCATTGCAACTTTATTTTGTCAATTGTGAGTAACCACAACAACAATTTTCCAGGTTGTGATTGATGCATTTCGACTGATCAATCCTAACATGATGGTGCTAGGTCAGGAACCAAGACAGACAACATCAAATTTAGGGCACTTACAAAAACCTTCAATACAGGTGAAACTGCCAAATACATTTTTGTTACACATTTCTTGAATTCTGTTTTCGAAACAGTAAGTTGTCATAACATATATATTATACTGCTGTTGAAAAACCAAAGAGAATCAATTCCATATATTCCATTGTAGGCTCTAATACATGGGCTCAACAGACATTATTATTCAATTTCTATTAACTATCGTAAGAACGAATTGGAACAAAAGGTTTGAAATGACTTTATTCAATACAAGTGGCATTGTTCCCTTATACACACTGTCACACTACTCTATTATTTTATTTTGTCTAATGCCAGATGATTTTACTCATCAATGGAAGAGTGTTGCTACTTTATGGGTTAAAGAAAAATTCTGTATTCTGTACTCTTCCAAATCTGTCATAAGTTCTTATACAAAGTAATTGTTTGTTTAGATGTTACTAAATCTTCATAAAAAATCCTGGATGGATGGTTTGGCTTTACAAGATTTCGATACACATTGTTCAACGAATGAAACCACGGTCAAGGTACGTGGAAGAAATATCAGCCGGGTCTATATGTAATGGTCCCCACCGAGTAATTTTAGGAGATACAAAATAAATTAACACTGTTATTCGGAAAACGATTATTTTTATTCAACGTTTGAATCTCGTTACTTTCGAAATGTTGGTTGTTTTCCGAGTGGCCTTTGTTTTTTTGTTGTAGATCTTCTGATCTACATTGATTGGAATGTTCAAATTTGACTTTCACTTCAACTACCTCTCACTGGTTTAGTATGCATCTGATTGGTTAATTGGGTATATCAAACGCATCTGATTGGTTAATTGGGTATATCAAACGCATCTGATTGGTTAATGGCCCTTTACTGGTAATGGTATAGTGGGAGTCAAATGTGAACCTTCCTGTTGTCAGGGTAACCGTACAAAACTTGAAAGTCCTTGAATGTTCTTGAATTTGAAAACAAAAATTCAAGGTTTTAAATGTCCTTGAATTTGTAAAGAAGTACTTGAAAGTTCTTAAATTTTTCTTGCTTTAGTTATTGGATATTTTCTGAAATTGTTTGACATTCAAAACATTTTGTTGAATTGATTTTGCATGTTCATATTTGGCAAAGCTGTTTCAAATTCATTAAAGCTGTTCCCTTTTTGAACAATTCAACGTCACATTTTACTGATTTCTAACGTCTTTTCTTCAGTATTTAGTCCTTGAATTTGCTGATACATGGCGTTGAATGTCCTTGAAAAGTCCTTGAATTTGACTCTTCCTGACATGTACGAACCCTGTGTTGTAATATGATGATATAAATTTTATATGTATGATATCAATTTTTTGTCAATTTATTTAGGATATGCTCCAGCTTGCCAAGAACTATAATAAGGTAGAGAATGATTTGAAACCACACTGCAGTGTTAATTCTTTTTTTATTCTGCATACTATATTTTGCTAAAACATGTTACAAACATTTCCAGGCGTTAGAAGATGAGGATAAAATGACTCCGGAACAGCTCGCTATAAAAAACGTTGGAAAACAGGTGACATTACAATGGATTATAATGTTTGCTTTTAATAAATTTTGTGATATTTTTAATTAACATTTTCCTGTTCGAGTCTTATACCATGCATTTGCTGTGAAAATTTCAATGTCTGTTCCATTTTTGTAGGATCCAAAACGACACTTGGAAGAGTCCGTAGATTCGCTGATGACGTCGAATATAGTGCAATGTCTGGGCGCCATGTTAGACTCAGTAACCTTTTGAGATGTAATCTTATGAATTGTAAACTTATAATATTTAGTAAATTTTGTTTCTCTGTGAACACCTCGAGCTCTTCTGATATTGTTATGTTACTGTACTGGGACCAGTCAAAGCTGAGTTAGCACTAAACCTTTGCCGACAAGATATTTTTTTCAATCAAGGGGGGGGGGGCACCCCCTCTCCACCAAAGCGACGGCTCTGACTGCAATACGTACAATTATGATTCCTTCACCTCGGGATTCTTTTATTTGAATATGTTATTCAGTTAATACTACATTACACTTGTTTTCATAGTCTATTAGTCTAATTTTATACACAGCTACAACAACACACTAGGTCATTTACAATAGGAAGGTTTGACTAAGCACTATCGTGCAGCCGATGGTGGTCAACCTGTATAGTTATCAGAGTGAGAAAATACTGTTCATTCCTTTCATTATATGTCGTAGTCTTGTATTTGGTGGTAAATAAATAGGATCATAGTTAAGAGAGATGGAGTTTAATTTTCCTGTTCCTATAAATGTCAAGATTTCTGAAGTTGACTACAATCTATTGCCCTGTAAAGGCCAATTTCCACTCAGGAAAATTTTCCACAGAAACTGTCGGAAAGAAAAGTTTGTAAAATGTGATTGGTCAACACAAATTTCCCGTCGTGAAAAATTTTGAAGTTGAAAATTTTCAACTTTTAATGATATTTTCGGAAAATTCTCTCCGTGGAAATTTTTCTTGAGTGAAAATGGGCCTTAACGCTTGCTGAAACTTCATCACTCTACTTCCAGTTGTTTACTTAATGAGTTCACGGCACGCGTGGCGCCTTTCGATGTCCCGAAGTACGTCTTGATTGCCTTGCTCACGTGATGACGAGAATACGGCGGTAGCTCCTTCAACTCGTTTAAATTCATTCGTTCCCAGTCCTTTAGCGTTCTGTCGTAATCCATCTGAACTTTCTTCCTATTCAAATTTTCGATTTTTCGGTCCATTTCAATTCTAGAAAAAGTAACTCGATATAACTAATCATAGAAGGGTTTTGTATATGGAATTTTTAAGAGGAGAATCGTTTGTATATTCGATTTTCATAATCATTTTTGATGTTCTCAAGGGGGAGGCATTGGGGTATTCACTACTGTAATACCGCAAGCAAATTTTGTCAATTACCGCAGTTTTTAGTCCCAAATTGCAAATACCGTGTACCGCAAGATTTCCAATATCGTAATACCGCAATATTTCAAGGAAAATACCGTAAGAAAAATAAGCTAATACCGCCATGTTTAGTGCTTTATCTGTAAAATAATGCTAAAATGAAGATATTTTAGATGATACGCCAAAGAGAAAATGATGTCTGAGGTTCACCAAGTTTTGTTTATATTGCTGTATAAACATGGCGTCAATTTTCCAGCACCAATGATAATTGTATTTAAATTGACAATATTTAACTATTATTTGTGTTTCTCAACCGCCAGATACATTTGAAAAAGTTGCTAACTGTGTAAACTACAAAATAAGTAATTTTGTGAGGAACGCAAAAAGATTTTAGGTTTTGAACTAATTGAACACTTGGAAAAAAATCGCCTTTTAACATTTTTAATGAGGAAGTAGGGCTTTCGTTGGGCAGTTCAATGCCAACCGACCTCGCGAATATAAAATTCTCTTTAGTATTTACCTGAATTTCAACACTTTCGAGTAATCCATTCTCGATGCGCTGTATTCAGGAATGTTGATCTTGGGAAATGAAGGTTTAGGAAAAGTAGGCAGCCTTGTGCTTCCCAATGACGTATCACGATGAGTTGCGCCCGTCCTAAGCAAGAATGGAAAATGGGAAGTAATATTTGAAATCCGACTATGAGGACTGGACTAGATTTCAAGTCAAGGCAATTTGATCAAGTCCGAGGCGAAGCTGAGGACTGGATCAAAATGCGAGGACGATTAGATGTAAGCAAAATAAAGCAATATGGTTGGCTAATTCATTCATGAATTATTAATGAGTTTGAGATCAAACATTGCAATGTATCGCTGCACGTCTTTGGACAGGAAATCCTCGTTAAAAAGAGACTCAGTGATATGTAATTGTTGTGATTCATGTTACCATTTCTTCTGCGTAGTAGGACTAGTTTGCAGTCTTGTTGAACGGAATGGTCCAGGGACACTAAAAATGAAAAGAGTGAAAAATTTCGATTTACTACCACTGCGTATAACAAGAGTTGAAAATCGCTCGCAGAGTTTAAAAGAAGATGCATAAAGTAATAAACTGTTGCTAGAAGAGAACGAATGGACCATTTGCATTATAGACTAAATTTTGATGTAGACAAAAATTTCATCACAGCTTGAAAGAGCATCACAGTCAAAATTAGTAATATTCCAAAGTTTCGTTGCGAAATGTTGTAAAATGCGGATAATATAGCCTTGCGAAATTTGCAATTTTCAGTCATTTTTTATTACAAACGGGAAATTGATGCCCCAACACCCGATTGGGCTGTCAATTTCCCGTGCGTAATACAAAATAACCGGCTGAGAAACGGCAAATTTCGCAAGGCTTTATTATCCGCATTTTACAACATTTCGCAACAAAACTTTGGAATGTTACTAATTTTGTGATGTTCTTTCAAGCTGTGATGAAATTTTTGTCTACATCAAAATTTAGTCTATAATGCAAATGGTCCATTGCGAGTTCTTCAGGCTTCATCCCTTACTAAATATGTAGGGAAGAGTTAAGAACTAATAGAACAATTCAGTTTTATAAACCAAGCCAGTTATGTTTTATTCTTACTTGTCCATTCGCCATGAGACTTGCGGTTCTATAAAATATTAAAAATCTCAACTGATAATTCACGAGGAAAATACAAAAGAAATGAATGTTCAGTATCAATGTTTGTAAATCGGATAAAGATTTGTCCTGATTTACATAAACTTCAAATTTGATTTTCTCGGCTTAGACAATGTTTATTTTTAAAATTACTTCGCCAATGTCAATGAACTCATAAAACGAGTCGTTTTTTAAGCACGTTAAAACATTCGCATCCGATCTTTGTCTGCAAAAGATCGGCTGTTCATGTTTTAACTAGTACCTCTAGATGCAGAATGATAAAGCTTGGGCTATAATGCATACCTAATTTTAGTGTGCAGTGATAACCAATTTGTGCAGTGATAAAAGTAAAATGTGCAGTGATAAAATGTAAAATGTGCAGTGATAAAATTTGCTTTGATAAGTTGTTAATTAACACAAGAGAATGATTTAATTGAAATTGAAATGATGACTGCCAAATTATCGAATTAAATAATAGTATATGTTTTTTGTACGAAAATCATGAGATTCAGGCAATTTTTAGTTAATATCTGGCTTTTGGTATGTCCGGAAAAAATTTTTGACCCTTAAAATGGTACACTGACCAAAATTTTTTTGGCGACGGGGGGGGGGGGGGGGGGGGGGGTTAGGTCGCCAAAAATTTCCGAATATTCGGAAATTTTCTTAGTCACTCGGAAATTTTTGGCATAAAATGTGCAGTGATAAAAAATTCTTAAAATTAGGTATGCTATAATGAAGCAGCATTAAACAAAGTTGGACCTTTCCAGCGTCTTTATAGCCCTTTATCTGGACGTTTGAAGCGCTAGAGTAAGAGCATTAATTCGCAATCGAAACGTCCTACACACGTTTGCTCCTACACACGTAAAAACGCACAAGTTGTTACAAGTCTGCAAACAAGTTGTTACAAATCTGTTCACAAGTTGTCAACAAGTTGTGTTCGCACTGCTTGTTCCCAGTTGTTTTAACAAGTTTGGAACAAGCTGTTATAATAACTTGTAACAAGCTTGATGGCATTATCAGACTTGTCACAAGATTGTTCTAACAAGTCTGATACAATCATGATAAACAAGAATGTTACAAGGTTGACGACACAAGGTTGTAACAATACTGCTATATCATGACTGTATCGAACTTGTTGGAACAACCTTGCAACAAGTCTGATAATATCAACAAGGTTGATACAAATTGTTAACAGCTTGTTCCAAACTTGTTGACAACTTGTGACAAGCAGTGCGAATACAACTTGTTGACGGCTTGTTGACAAACTTGTTATAAGATGTGAGATTTTTGCGGCTCGAGACCATCACTTACCCACTATGCCCAGTGATGTAGCTCGTTGTCCATAGTTCGTCTTTGGTCGTTCCTCTTCTTCGTCCTGTATAAACATGAAATCAAATAATTCTTTCATCTCATTGTGGTTTAAGGGCGCCCATGCATTCAAACATCCCCAACAGTGCCTCAGAACATACCTGGAGTTCACTGGCTACGTAGTTCACGATGTACTGGTTGTAATAAGGTTCCAGACTGTTGAACAAATATGGCGTGAATGGTTTCCTAAAAATATAATAATACAGTTGAACTTCTCCTTAAATTAAGCCCGGATCAGACGACGATGAAAGATGACAATCACGCGATCTTGGTTTGCTGTTCTTAATGCTTTCCCAACACTATCATGATATATAATACATAACATAAGATTATTAAGTTTTCTTACAGTGGTGGTCTTTCGATGCTGGTTTTGACTTTGGTCATTTTCTTTTTGAGGCGTTGACAATCTGCAAGTAGCAATTGGCGTTGTTTTTCTTCGAATGTTGAAGCCGGTGTTTTGGGGTTCTTGGCTGGTGGAGATTTTTGATCGCGAGGGAATGGTTCACGCTTGTCTTCGTCCTCATGCACTTCATCTTTTGTATTCTGTTCCTTTTTGGATTCGTCTTTTTTGTCATTCTCGTCTTCTTTGATACCGTCGTCTTCATCTAAAATCCGTCATAAGACGAATTATAATAATAGTAATGGCGAAATGATATTAGAAATTGTACATGCGCTAGACATGCTCACAATGTAATTGTTGTTTGCACATTGGGCTTGAAGTGCGCGAATTCTCGAACCGTGTTTGTCAAAGTCTGTTAGATGAAAATTCATGATTATCGATCATAGATTTTAACACAAACTAGTGCGGTTTTAACTGTATATATACTTTGCATTTTACATTGTTGATGTATTATCGTAAAGAAGTATCGCTGTACATATATGTTTTCTTTTGGAATTGTGGCCATTGGAATTGTGGCCAAATTTAAATATTTAATACATTGGTTACTGCATCAGCTTTGGTTGTTAGGAGAGTGTATCAAACACAACATGTCGGGATTGTCTCCAATTAATTTTCTTTGTATTAAATAACACTTGTCCAATAATATAAACCAATAGATTATTGCCCTTTTTGCTGGACCTCTAATAGAGAGGACAGCTTACAACTGCTAGAGGTATTCAGTCATCCTGAGGATGACTATAAATTAGTTGAAACGTAGAATTATACTTTGGTAAAATGTAGCACTTAGAAATTCTAATTGGATTTAATTAATCCATTTCGTCGCAAAATACTACGAGCTTGGTAGATAGACATTAGCAAGAAACAATGAGTTCAATTTAACAAATTTATCAAGACGCAAGTTTGATGCGCTTTAATTTCATGAATTTTCATCATTTATCCTACCAGTATAGTCGATTTCGTTTGCCGGAGTCGGTGATTTCGATTCCTCGTCTGGCGGCGAGTCTTGCTGCTGTGCGGTCGACCTCGGCTATACGACATTCCAAATGAACATTAATGTAACAATTAGTAGCGTTTGGAATTCCGCGCAAAACTCAGAAGCATGCAATAAAATATAAGTAAACAGAAATTATTACTAGAACTACTACTGCGTAGAAAATATAATATTTACCTCCCCGTTGATGCCAAGCATAATTGTATGTGTTGTGGCTTTTGTCAGTGAATGCACTGTCAACATGCTTTGTTGCTAGGGTGATTTGACGTGGGCTGACGTAGCCTAGATAAGATTATACTGACCTTCTTCTCGTATTTCAAAACATACTCTTATATAAGTATAAATATATGTGTATAAGACCTTTCTACTATTTCAAAATATACTTTAATGCGTATATGGCTACATGTTTACTGCTACCGCGGTTAGCTTTCCGTATTGACGTGAAAAAACATGTAATGTACACTATAGTGGATCGATACGATATGACAATGAAAGAGAGACTTGGAGCAAGTCTATACAGAATGGGAGATGTTTTTTCGCCCAGCTTCTGAAAGTTGTACATTCCGTATCGGATAGGTGCTTTTTCGTGCACCTACGGAAAGCTTTCGTATATTTTTTCATTCAAAATTTCACGCATCAACGGAAATATGTTAAGTGTTAACAATTACAGCTCTTTATACCCTTTATCTGATATGGGTTAATTATATGGTCTTCTTTTAGGAGAGGTGTGTATCAATTTCCGAATTTCGAAAGAAAGATTCAATAGGACTAAAATTAAGAAAGATTCAATAGAAAGATAATAATAAGAAAGATTCAATTGGACTCTTCTTTTGCAGGACAACACTGAAAAACACTTCGGTGATGTGGGTGTCCTGAATAAATATGAAGATAATAATAATAATAATAGGGTAAAGAATAGGATTTGTGTCAGGATTACCTTAGGATTAGTGTTTGTGATTAGGATTTGGATTAGCGGGTAGGATTAAGGTTAGGGTTGGGATTAGGGTTCGGGGTAGAATATGGTTAGGATTGCTATTAGTGCTGGTGGAAAGATTCGGATTGGTTTGGGGATTAAACTGATTAGGATTAGTTCACAGTGATCACGTGGTAGGATTAGGGATCGCATTAGGGTTGGTTGGGATTAATTGGGGTTAGGATTTGGATTATTATCACGTGTGTCGGTAATTGACCTTTGATCATCAGATCATGTTACCTGCGAACGGGCGGCAATATTAATTCTTTCTGCAAACACGTTGGACAATATAGACGTTCCATAATCCTATCCTTTTGCGAAAATATGGCTAGAAATCGTGTAAACCAACAGTTTAGGAGAGAAAGAACGTTCTCATCCTCTTCTACAGTGAGCACAGACGATGGTCATCATGACTTGAGTGAACAGATTGTGGTAGATGTCACTTTAGAATATTTTTATAAACCACGAACGCTAACTGCTTTGGGATTTCTGTTGCTGTATCTTGCTTATTTTGCTTTTACACAGTAAGTTTCTCCGAGATCGGTTGAGGCTTTTTACACAGCTTGATGTTTAGAATAGTGTAAATGTTTGTAAGTTGTAATTTTTAACTTTTTTTATCATGTTTACATCAGTGTATAAACTAGGTATATAGATACTTTTAAGTTCTATTTAGTATTGGCTTATTGCATTTTTAAACCACACACCCCCTATGGAGGATACTGGAATTTCCAGGCCCCCCTTCCTAAAATTCAACAAAAAAGGACGGAATTTCCAAGGGAGGTTCTAAATTTTAAAGAAAATCTGTGGAAATTCCACGGGGTAGGTTAAAAAAACAACATGGAAATTCCAAGGGATGGTTACCTATTAAACAAAAAATGTGGAAATTCCAGAGACTAGGTCAAAACCATTGGTGGAATTTCCAAGGGATGAGTAGAAATTTGTTAAAAATCTGTGGAAATTCCATGGGGTAGGCTGGAAATTTGTAAAAAATCGTGGAATTCCAGGGGGTAGGGCAGAAATTCATCAACATCTGCGGAATTCCAGGGGAGGGGGTCCAAAAAATGGATGTCCTCCATAGGGGGTGTGTGGATTAAAAGTGCAA